GTTCCACCCTTGTCTCTGCAACGCCTCCACTTATCACCAAATCAAACATACTAAGAAAACCATACAAAGAAAAATAGCTGCTAAATAGACTTAGCACTGGTTATGTTGGGGCTTTAAAACTGATTTGTTTTGTTTCCTGCTAAAACAAAGTTTGTGAATTCAGTTAAATAATTGTTCAAATATATCTGTCATTTGTGTGTTTTTAGCTTTCTTCCTGTATGGGAAGTTTTTCAAAATTTGAAACATTATTGCAGTGGTTTATGTTAAAATAAACCTTTGGGTTAAGTTGTCCCAAGCAGGTTTTTCTTGTGTTTCTTGTGAATTTGGTCTTAAATTTTTATTTCAAGTGGCATTAAAAAGTCTTGAATTTAACTTGCCTTATGCTGTAGGAATCCTGAAGAACTGGTCGCTTTTTTAAGGTTATGTTTAAATAGGGTTGGGGGTTAAAATTATTGTATTTGGGTGTAAAGTAATACTAATTAATAATTATCGATATCGGCCGAAATGAAAGGCTCATGATACATTTTGTCGTCCTATTGTCATGCTGTAAATTGTTACATTTTCTTCTGTTTTAGTGATGTGGCAGCTTTTATTTTCATATGGCACTGCGCCACAATCGATTACATGTAGAGTGACCCCCTCTTGCATAATTTTTTACTCTGACTCCACCCTTTCACTGAATTACGGGGTCTGACCAAGAGATGATGCTTCTCTTTAGATCTTAATGTCCACAAATCATGACAGAATATTTTAGTACAAAGATTGATGTTTAAAAAAGGAATCTTGGGGGACCAGCCAAGGACCCATCAAGGAAAGTGGGGAAATTTCCAATAGCTACTACTGTAGATGCACTTCTACTCCAGCAAACTTGAATCACATGAGCAGCTCACTATCAGACTTTTCCCAAACTGGGTTACTTCTTTAAGAGATGCTCAATCATTGGATTTGGCCAAATATTGGTGCTGGGATGAACCTCTGGAGGCTCCTGCTTTAGGTGCTCCGTGTTCATGGATCAGAACGAGAAAAGATTTTGGGGTTTCTGATGAGCTGATCATTGTTCAAAGCCGATGAATCAGAAAATCATCGCATTCCTGTCCAACTGTAAGGGACTATTTTTCTTTACAGCTTTAAAGAAAAAAAAACAATACTACAGTAACTCTAACATTTAGGGAGTTTTTCCTCTCCACTGTCGCTACAAGCATGCTTACTCTGAGGGATTGCCTTCCAGTCAATGAGTTGATGCAATCAGCTGGTTTTCCTTAGATAGAAAACTTTCAATAAATTTGACTGCATAGTGTGGTTGAATTTAGGAATGCAGGATATAATCGGCCCCCTATCGGTATCGGCCTTAAAACTGAATATCGGGCATCGGTCACCCCACCGATATTTAACCCGATATTTGATCAGCTTCTGAGTTTCTAAAGTCTAAAAAAAAAAAATGAAATACTAATTCTTCTTCTTCCTCAAAAACTTATTTTTTACAGACTTAAAAACTTCTAAAGACGAGGGAAAAAATATTGATACATTAAAATATCCCAATATCTTCATATGCTGATATATTGCCATTTAAAAACACCATATCAATCTCTTTTACTAATGAAATATTGCTATATGTCATCGTTATGCTACAAAATACCCCGAAAATTCACGAAATTCTGCCATATTTTTATATGTTGATATATTGACGCGGTATCGATCTATTTTACTAACAAAATCTCACAAGAATTTGCAAAATATTACGAGTTTGTAACAGAACGATGAAATTTCACGAGATTTTGAAAGTAAAATAGATCGATACCGCGTTTTTAAAAATGAATTTGATATCATGATATGAAAATATATTTGAGTTTATTATTTTTCAAAGTGTCAGAAATGGATAAAAAAACTGCTATTTTCAATGACTACTTATTTTTGTCCAGCTTTAACATCGGTATCGATATCGGTTATCGGCTACATGAGTTTTAAAATATCGGATATCGGCCAAAATCCCAATATCGTGCATCCCTAGTTGAATTGTAAAGTGCCTTAAGATGACATGTGTTGTGAATACGCGCTATAGAAATAAACTGAATTTAGAAAGTTGAGTTGTTAGTGTGAACCATGCTTGCACAATGCCCCTGGTGCATACTGTACTTTAGTTTAGTTTCCACTGTGTAACACAGAATTAGAAGAAAATGACTGCACACTGTAAGAAAGGGGTGTGATTTATCTAAGCGTTTTAAAACATTCATGGGTATTTAGTTCACCCAATCTTGTCAACAAAGACAAAATAAATGGTCAGCTCAGATAACCTGGATTATTCAGGAAGTAATGAGCTTAGTTTGGCTAAGCAGTATTCCTCCCAGCTGAAACAATACCCTCCTGCCCCTAATGTATCCTGACACAACCTTTTTTCATCTCAAGTGTTGTTTTTGCTTCGCTAAGATGGCTTTAAAGCATCCATCCACCCCAATAAGGCCTCTCGGATCTGGAGTGGACAGGAAAGGTGGTGAGGAGAGAGTGGCCACTAGGGAGAATATAGGAGGTTAGGTTTAGGGTGGAGCAATTTGACGGAGTGGAAGGCAGGTCAGGGGTGAAGAGATGGCGCTGCTTCAGGCGCCCCCCCCCTGAGATAAACTCCTAATGAATGAAGTGAGACCACATGTTGGCTGTGAATTTGCACGACTCAAGCCAAAAGTGCACATTAGTGGTTTAGGTAAGTAAAAAAAACAACAACAAAAAAAGGAAATAGTTTCAGAGAACAACGTTCTTGGAAATAGGCTGTTTGTTCCAAAAAAAAACAATACTCTGTAGACAGGTGTAGGTTTCTGTTTTACAGCTTAAATGTTTAGATGCAAGGCAGGTGTTAAAGTCCAGGCCACAAAAATGCATTTTGATTTAAATACCATTCCAGCTGCAATGCAGCTTCTCTGAAACGATCATGCAGGACACTTGGGACTGATCAGATGGAGAGAGCTGATGCATTGAGCTGCATTGGTAGTTTTACAAAAATATATTTTCTTTTCTTTAACTTTCCTGTTTTACATCCTTGAATATCTACAGTATTTATTTGATATAAACTATTACAAATAAATATATTATCGTAAGGCTGCTCAGTGGTGCAGAGGGTAGCACTGCTGCCTTGCAGCAAGAAAGTACCCTGGTCTTTCTGCATGGAGTTTGCATGTTCTCCCTGACCATGCATGGCTTCTCTCTGGGTACTCCGGCTTCCTCCCACAGTCCAAAAACATGACTGTTGGGTTAATTGGCTTCTCTAAAGAAGCCTGTTCAGACAGCTGGAGATGGGTACCAGCACCCTTCACGACCCCAGCGGGGATAAGCGTGACGGAAAGTGAATGGATGGATGTATTATCCTGAAGTAGAAGGAAACAAGTTTGGAAAAACACTAAAATGCAATGTTCACCCCAGCAAACCATCACAGTGCTAATACATGGTGGTGGCAGCATCAGGTAGCTGAGAATTAATCAACATTTTAAACAATATCATTTCCAAATTGCAGAGCACTTTGTTTTTGGTCTTTTGACATTCACACCCCTAATTACCACTGGAAGTGAAAGCAGTACATGTGCGCTATGGTGCAGCTCCTCGGGATAGTCGTGACTGATCAGTGCTACTCTAATCAGAGTGATTCAGCTGAAAGTGAGGCGCTATCCACTTTACTAGGCACTGTTCTGTTTTTGCTGGTTGTTTCTTCAAACCCGCATCAGCCTAGCCCAGAGCAGGTCATTCAGGCAGGAATCAGCTAATGAAAAACAAAGCAAATTTGATCATATTTACAAGTAAAAGGCTGCATGTGCAGACTTTGGATCACATTTCCTGAACTTAAATGCAAATATATAATATCTTCATCCACTTAATGCAGTCGTGATAATAAATATGGCCATTTAGAATAAAATTATGACAAAATGAAATATGTCGACTCACTTCCACATGATGTATCGTTATTAGGGATGGAACGGTTAATGAAAACCGTCCGAACCGTTCGGTTCGCGTGTGTTGCGTTCGGTTCATGCGCTGCTCCTGTTTCTCATAGGCGAAGCGTTTACACTCCAGAGCAGAAGGTGGCGGTACTGCGACCAAAGCCAACCACCAGTAGTAAACAAGAAGAAGAAGCGAAGCAGCGTAGCCGGGTGTAGCAGAAAAAAATCAGTTGTTGTGGAGAATTGTGTGGGTATGGCGAGTGGGAAAGAACAGGAGTTGGAAGACGCGCCAGCAGCACTTTATAGGTCTGCTGTATGGGACCACTTTGCATTTAGAGGGACCTACGATGACGGCGGAAAGAAAGTTGTGGATAAAAGTGCAACAGTGTGCAAGCATTGGGCAACACGTTTTGTTTATGCTAACAGCAACACGACCAACATGTCATGCTAACAATCGACATATACCGAACCAAACCGAACCGTGGATTTTGTGAACAGTTCCACCCCTAATTGTTATGTAGTTTTAGTTCATGTCAGAGATCAAAAACGCTGCCCATTGATGGTCACTTCTGTCAGCGTGCCCCAAATCAGCTGTGGCTTCAATGTAGCTTACCACCATCAGTGTGTGAATGAATGAGTAAATGACTGAATATGTTAAGGATACAGGATATTCATTAGATCACATTTCTTAATGTGAATGAATGAAATGTAATGTAAAAGTTTATTAATCATCGCTGTCCTTTGGATAATATGAGCCCATCTCCAGTGTGGCAGGTAGTTCACTAATTGTCTTTAATCAATTCTAATACACACGAGAATGTTGCTAGATGAAAATAGGATTGCTCACTCACTGAGGATGGAAACTAGGCGTTATAGAAAACAAACTAACGATTCGGATAAATTTAGAGGTTAGAACCGGTTCTGATCGATTCTGTGTCTGACTCTACTGCTAACAGACTGAACCTCACATTTCCAGCAGATGTGTTCTGTCCATGAAGACATTCAGCTAAAAGGTTGTGTTATTCATATAGGAACTGATGATGAATAGAGATGTGGCTAAATGTTCATCTCTACCCACAGGACTTGGGAGCGAGACCCCGGCCAAAGCAAGTTGTCCAAGGTTTCTACAGAAGCGAGCACTGAGGTAAGAGAAGCACGTTTTAAAGAAATGTATGTTTCTAAAGGCTGGTTTATACTCAGAAACCAGGTCGTCTGAGTGTGCGTCGCAGTGAACGCAGATATGCCCCCATTTCCACAGACACTCTGGTACGCATCTCCGAAATTGTAGCTGACTGCAGACAGGAGGCCTCTGATTGGTCAAATCTACATCTGCTCTACACTATGTGTATTTCCTGTTTGGTACATTGTGGAAAACGACGTGAAGATGGACCAGTTAGACGAGCGAGGTGCGCGATAACGCTGGGACACTTTTTCCACCTGGATCCCCGCTCTTTTTCAACCTCATCTCCCTCCGTCGTCGCACAAACTTGCGTCCACTTCTTTACCACCTCAGCCGTATCTACACCCACAGCTAGTTCCTGATTGTCCCTATTGCGTTGTGGCGTGGAATAACATAGTGCAGACCGCGCTTCAAAATTGGGCATAAATCAAAAATGTCTGCATCATACTTGCGATAAGATCACTGCGCCACACTGCTGTGGGAGAATAACCAGCCTTAAGTTGGACATTACTGTTCCTACTAATATATAACATTAGCTGCCATTATTGAATCCTGGACTTTATCTTTAATAAAAATAATTGGTTCAAAGAACAGAAAGCTGCAGGTTGCTATGGAGTTTATGCTGTTAATAGTTGTGGTTCTAATGGTTCTGTTTCGCCTATTGGAGGTCTATGAAGTCTTAAGTTGGGACACTAACTTGAAACAGCATTTCAGATTCAAATGTTGGAACTTGTTCGGATGAGCAAACAAACACTGTTTTTATATCAAAGGATCTACTGTGTTTTCACAGCTGTTTTAGATAGAATGGAAAACACCACAACATGTTTTTATTTTCCCTGCAGTACTCAACTGTTCCCTCTCGTCGGATTTGTCCTGCCAAGCCTTTTATAGCTCTACTGAAACTTTGTTTGGTTTTATATTCTGAAATGACTTCATTGTGTTTCTGAGAGGGAAAAACTCGCTCCTCATTATTAGACTGAGAATATGACAGTAGAATGCTTTAACACTTCTAGATATAATAGACCTACAGTGGGGGAAATAAGTATTTGACCCCTTGCTGATTTTGCAGGTTTGCCCACTTACAAAGAATGCAAAGATCTATAATTTTAATCGTATGTACATTCTAACAGTGAGAGACAGAATCCCAAAGAAAATTCCAGAGGTTCACAACCATCCGATGAGGAAAAACAAGTATTTGACTCCCTGGACAAACAGCATGTTAATATTTTGTAGAAAAGCCATTATTGGCCAGCACAGATGTCAAACGGTTTTTATAGTTGGCGACAAGGTTTGTGCGCATTTCAGCAGGGATTTTGGCCCACTGCTCCCTGCAGACAGCCTCCAAATCATTCAGGTTCTGAGGTTGTTGACTGGCAACTCGAATTTTAAGCTCCCTCCAAAGATTTTCAATTGGATTCAGGTCTGGAGACAGACTAGGCCACTCAAGAACCTTGATGTGCTTCTTCTTCAGCCACTCTTTTGTTGCTTTAGCAGTGTGCTTAGGGTCGTTGTCGTGCTCGACCCATCTTCAGCTCTCTCACTGAGGGAAGGAGATGTTGGTCCAGAATTCCACCATACATGGCCCCGTCTATCCTCCCCTCAATACGATGGAGTTGTCCCGTCCCCTAGGCTAAAAAGCACCCCCAAAGCATGATGTTGCCACCACAATGTTGACGTTAGGGATGGTGTTCTTTGCCCTCCAAACACGACGAGTTGAGTTGAGGCCAAAAAGTTCTATTTTGGTCTCATCTGACCACATCACCTTCTTCCAGGTCTCTTCTGAGTCGTCCAGGTGGTGAATGGCGAACTTCATGCGGGCCTGCACATGTTTCTTCTTGAGTAGGGGAACCTTGCGTGCGCTGCGGGATTTCAATCTGTGGTCCCAGATTAGCCTGGGTACCATTCCGAACTTAGTCCCGCCCACAAGGTTTGAGGTCGGGAAGTTTGGTCTGGCATTGCTCAATAGTAGCGCGAGTATGATCGGCCACCCTCTGGCGATCCAATCAAATTGTCAGGGCGGGCTTTATACGATGATGGACAGATGATCAACAGTAACGTAATCAACCATGTGACCAAAGCGCGCTTGGTTGACAACAACAATGGCTGCCGCCGGAGAGTTGAGGTGAGTAGATTCTGCTATTAGGTCTGTTCTAGAAGATATCGACAGCAAATTAATTTTAAAAGAGGAACAGAGAAACGCGATCAAGGCTCATCTTCTTATTCTAGGCGTGCAACTGCACGCTTTGATTTTTGTTGACAACAACTATGCATCGCTTAACATACGTCACGCACTCCGTTGCTCTTATTGGTTGTAGGTCTATCCAATTGAGTGCAGAGGCATTTTTTGTCCTGGTTCGTTCAAAACACGCTCCATATAGATGTGATTATGGGCATCAGACTCATATTCTGACTAGAATTGAGTAGGACTACGTCAGGCTAGTCCCAGATGCCTTCAGTTGATTCATCACTTCCCCCCTTGTGGTTTTGGGATGATTCCTCACTGTTCGCATGATCAGGGACACCCCATGAGGCGAGATCTTGTGTGGAGGCCCAGACCGAGGGAGGTTGGCGGTTGTGTGGTGCTTCTTCCATTTCCTGATAACTGCATCGACAGTTGATCTTTTCTTTCCAAGTTGTTTTCCGATTCTCTTGTAGCCCATCCCAGCCTTGTGCAGATCAACAATCTTATCCCTGATGTCCGTAGAAAGTTCTTTGGTCTTGCCCATGGTGGTGATGTTGGATGCTGGTTGTTTGGGTGTTGACAGGTGTCTTTTATACAGGGAACGGGGTGAGGCAGGTGTATTTGATGTAGATAATTGGTTGGGATTGGGGCTGTGTCTTAAATAAAGACTAACTGGCTTGTAGGAGCCAGAATACTTGCTGTTTGGTACTTGTTTTTCCTCATCAGATGGTTATCAATTTTTACAAATTCATATGATGTGAATTTCTGGAATTTTCTTTGGGATTCTTTCTCTCACTGTTAGAATGTACATATGAATAAAACTGTAGATTGTTGCATTCTTTGTAAGTGGGCAAACCTGCAAAATCAGCAAAGGGGTCAAATACTTATTTCCCCCACTGTATGTAGGCTTGAAACTGGACCTTTCCTATATACATGGGTTTTAAAGATCCGGTTGCAACACTAACTCCTTACTAACCACAGTGTCTTTGTTTGATTTAACAGCTCAGTTGGTTTTTCTCCCCTCAGCTTCCAGAAGGAGTTTTCCTGCGAGGACAAAGACGATCCAACCAGAAGCAACAAGGATATAGATGTTAGTCTCCCAAAAGGTTAGTAGATCAGAAAAACAAAAATGTTTCCATCCTAGAAATCTCCAGTGTAGAAGGGTATGGATTTAATAAAACATGAGTTTTTTATTCCAGAAAATCCAATCTTAACATTCTTTCTTTGACAAAGTTAAATTTTCATGTATAAATGATCCAGTCTTGGTTTCTTCCATATGTTTTTGGTTTTTATGCTGTCCTTCTAACAAGTGTGGTTCTAATGCGTTAAAAACTTAAAACTTAAAAAAAACAAAGTCCAGTGCATTGTTGTTGTTTTTTTTTTACCTTTTTTGGAATGACTGTCTTTACCTCAAGATTTCTTCCAGAAAGATCTTGTCTTTCATTTTAAGTTTGAGCTGCACAATTTGAAAGAATATCGTCCAAACTTTGTCAAAACTTTATAATGGGTATTAGATTGAGAGGGCAGATGCATTTTTTTTCCTTTCACTTCTCTTTTAATTTAATATTAAAATGAATCCTTTTTTTTCTTTTCAAGTTTCTGAATTAAGGAAGCGTTTTGAAAGCCTTACCACAAGTGCGAGTGACTTGGAGATGAACAGGTATGACGATGAACTTTGCAGGTTGTGAGAGTTATTTCTAGAAATTATATATTTGGAGGAAATCAAAGGACGACGTTTGGTTTTGTTCCGTGAAGAAAGGAGCGGATCGCTCGGAGACTGGAGGGAATTGACGGGGAAGTCCATCCATCCCTGCTGCCCAACTTGGTGACCAACCGGCTGCTGGAAGAAGACACGCCTCGCTACACCAGAGCATCCGACCTCTGCGAGCCTCACACTGGTTAGTGTCTATCAGCTAAATCACAGAATTATTTGCATTTTATTTCAAATATTGTCACTACGGTTTCTCTCCTCCCTCTGAAGTGACTGTCCAGCGGTACGGCATTGAAGGGTTTGACAACCCAGACGTGCCGGTGAAGCCTCCTGACCGTGAGCCCAGAGATCGAATTAGGTCTGAGCATCAGTCCTCCATCCACACAGAGCCGGCCCACACCGATGCTGCCCCTGAGCAGGAATCCAAAGCTGAACGCATCGCCCGCTACAAGGCGGAGCGCCGCCGACAGCTCGCCGAACGCTACGGCATCTCCTTGGATCAGGACTCCGACTTGGATTACGCCTCACGCCGCACCCGGAAGGAAAACGAAAGCTCGGAGAGGTGTAAAAGAGGAGACGAAGGCAGGGATGTCAGCCTCAGCGTTTACAGCAGCAACATGGTCGGCGGGTCAACACCTCAGAGCCGCTCCGTCTCTGCCTACGATGCGCCTCGCAGCAGAGTAGACTCCTTCTCTGAGAGGGAGAGAATGATGAACCTGGAGAATCAGCGCAGGGCCGTCCCGCCTCCGCCCACCTCCTACATGGACGTAACCTCATCGTTCTCCACCAAGGGTCACGCTAAAGACGCAGTGGCATCATTACCGCCCAGCTCGCCAAAGATGAGCAGACACTCATCGCTTTCCTCTCCCAAACACGCTGCGTCTCCTGGAGATGCGTTCGTCGAGCAGCAGGCCCACGGCGTACTGAACAGACACGGGTGAGTGCTCTTTACATCCCAATGTTCATTCCTCTCCTTTTTGGATATTAATTTGAAGAAAATAGAAATACCTCATTGTGAGACAGTGGAGAGATCCAGGCTTCTTGTGTAGAAATCAATCTTCTTTAAGTTCAAACCTAAAGAAGTTAAGCTGCGCTGGTGTGTCTGTTAGAGAAACATAAACTGGTACCTCTAGATCTGGACTGTAATTTGATAGAGATAAATGTCAATTGATAGACGTGTAGCGCAATTGGAAAAGAAGAGGCTGATAAGTTAAAAAGTTCAGTTTCCTTCATTTTTTATGATAGCCTTTCACATAGCTTCATGCTAAAGTCAGTACTTTATTAAGGAACACAAATAATAATAATGAAATAAGCTGTTTAGTGAACTACTGTCAAAAAGGAATATGAATATATATATATATATATATATATATATATATATATATATATATATATATATATATATATATATATATATATATATATATATATATATATATATATACACACACACTGTTACAAAGGGTCATCTTTACAGAACATGTGAAGATGTTTCATCTAATGTGATACAGTTGGCACCTCTTTCAGAGGAAAAGGGATGAGATTAAAAATACCCAAAAGTGCTGCTTAGCTAAAGGTTGAGTTGATTTATGCTTAAGAAAAAGATGCATGGGATATATGCAGTATATACAGAGCTTCCACATATAACAGCTTTTTTTTTTTTTTGTAAGATCATTATACAGGGTTATTGCTCAGGGTGTTTACACGGATTTATATATATATATATATATTAGGGATGTAAATAATAATCGTTTTGTATCGATGCATCGATACGTCCACAAGATAATCGATTGTTTTTTGTTTTTTTTTCCTCCGGTCCATTTTTATCCATTTGTTCCTGGATGTAATTCTCCCTCCAGTGCCGCGGTGCCGCTAAACTTTGCCCTCCTACCTCGCTTCCTGGTTATACTCTTACAGCAGTTTGTTGCAGTGAGCCTGACACAGACATTTTTGATTTATGCTAAATATTGAAGCGTGGTCGTATCGTGGTGTATTCTTGAGTATCGAAAAGAATCGAATCGTTGGGTCAGGAAATCTATACTGAATTGAATCGCCATGATGGATGTGATTTACACCCCATATATATATATATATATATTTATTTTTTTTTATTTATTTATTTTTTTTGTATTGTCTAATGGCAGCAGGGATGAAGAACCTGCGACAGAGCTCCTTTTTACAAATAGGGTGTAAAAGTCTTTCACTAAAGGAAGGATTGCTAAATACTGAGGAAACAAAAGACACACCTGAATCAGGTGTGTTAGACCATGGTTGGATCTAAAAGTTGCAGGATGCTATTCACGTGGTAGCTACCACGTTTTTACTACCGCAGGCTGGTATTCCCTCCTAAACAAACTCCATTTTTGTTTTTTTGTTTGTAATATTTATTTTGCTCAAAGGATTGTTTAAATATTTAGGTGATTTTTATGTCACTTCAGGCTATTCTTATTTTTTCAGTATTTACTGACATCAAGGCATCTCAGGTTGAAATATTTTTCTTAAAAGAAAGTTGAAATAAATATTTAATCACACTTGGACAACTTTTATTTTCATTTTGTATTCAGAGTGGATACAAAACGAAATTGAGTTTATTTACTGCTTTCATTACATTTCCTTAGAGTGCAGCAGTGATCAAATGTAAACGGTGTGGGAGAAGAAAAAAAACAAAAACATTGATCATTAGAATTTTTTTTTTTTTGTGTTCTTTGTTAGAAGTATCTCATAAAAAAAAATAGCATAAATGGCGATGGCTGAGTTTAAATTTAGGTTTTGAATATTTTGTAATAATTATCTTTGTTAATCCAAATGAATTAGTTTTTATCAGTATGCTTTTTTCCCCCTTATATCATCCAACCCTACTACTGGCATGTGTTACGGTTTTATTTAACTTAGTAAAGTTAAATCCTCAAAGGGAGGCTGCTGAAGTTTTCACAGCTGTTGGGAAGATGCCAGCCTCTGCTTTTATATTCGAGCTATGAAAGTTAATATCTGCTTTTTCATGCATAGCATCCATCCTTTGATACTGCGTCTTTCTCAAGAGACTAGATTTAACCTTCGCCTCACATTCTGTTTTTTCATCCAGGGAATAGATCTGTAGCAGTCAGTTCATTTTGCTGCGTGTTTTAAAAAAAGAGTTTTGAATTGGATCAGGTTGACTTTCCATGCAGACGTAAGTGTAGAAGGAATTTGTGAAACCCTTCAAAGGTCCTAAAGCTCTGTAAGGTCACCCTGACCCTTTCCAGACCTTCACCAGCCTACATCCCCCCTCCCGCTATGTGCGGTTATGAAGAAGCATTCCTTGATTCTACACACAACCAGGCTGTCACTGCTCATCCGTCTCGACGTGTGTCCTCCTAACCCCTCGCTCCGCTCCTTATTGTCCGTCTCAGGTTTCAAAACTTGGCCAGGAAGCAAGTTGCTTTGGTGCAGGGAGGCTCGGTACGAGTCTGCAGTCACACCTCTGACCCACAGCTGGGTTTGATCTAAACCAGAAAGAAACGGAGTTTAGCCTCCTTGCACTGGATCTGTGGCGCTAACGTTTGAAGCTATGGAGAGAATTTTATTCTATTGTTGTTTCAAACAAAGAACATGATTTGTAAATGGAAATTTGAAAAAAAAAACACTGCAAACTAGAAATAAAACTTCTTAAATAAACCAAAAATGTTGAGAGTAACTGATTTCTTAGATTTAGATTTTTGAAATAAAAGTTTTAAGCATTTTTATTATTTACCAAAAAATAGATTTTTTTTTTTCTGATTTTTTTTTTTGTCAATTTAAGTTTTTACTATATATATATTTTTTTTTACATCTGCTTTTCAGGTCGAGTTTTACAGATTTTATCCTTTTCAAAATGCGTCTTACGGATCACATTCTCCTCACTTCTGGGTTGGGCCTTCCTCTGAGGAGCAAAGAAGCTTTTCTATTGGTTTGCAAAAAATTAATTGAACACAATAATCTGAAAAATTGCAAGTTTACTCTCAAAACCACTTGAATTTCTTACATTTCTACATGTTTCAAAGTTTCATTTCTGGATTGCAGTTTAATCAAAATTTAAATGACCAAATGTCTTTGCTTGCAACATTAATGGAAGAAAATTCCCTCCTTTTTGGATGTTTGGTTTGAAACTGAACCTGAGGTAATTGATAGTTTTACACCAAACCCTGAGGAATTGATCAAAACCCTGGAGTGGTGTGAATACCACCGTAATTTCCCTCTGGGATTATTAAAGTATTTCTGATTCTGAATACATCCCAGGTCATATAGTAGAAAAACCAGGAAGAGCGCGAGACGTCAGAACGGGAGAGAAAGGAAAACAAACTAGCATGACGTCATGTATCATTCAGCCAATCATTTCTTTTAAATTGAAACCAACAATAAAAAACTATGAAGCAAAATGGTATAGCTATGGAAGATTATTGCATTCACCAAAGAAAAATCAAACAGCTTATCTCATAATTACCAGATCAGTATCTCGTAATTATGGTTAAAGATCTCCTAATTACGAGATACTGATCTACATATTTGGTCATGATTACTTGAGTCAGTAATGAAGCATCTCTTAGAAAACTGGTCTTCATGATTAGAATTACATAAGGATATTCAAATCTGTTCCACTGAGCAGTTCTCTGTACAGAGGTCTCACCTGATAGACGCTGGAGTTTCGCTCCTGTTTTCCACTTCATCAATAAAATACCCAGCTATAACCCTGTCATTACTACTTGTGGAGTAATCATGCAGCCATATTACCATATGCGAAAATCCTTAAACAGCTCCATTAATACATATTCTGTATGGTTTTAGTTTTTCATATATATCGACATTGTGCATGAAGTTGGGACCTGGTCGTTTTAAACAATTCTGAAGCTTCAGCTGTACTCCATGAGGATCTAGGATTTTGAGAGGGTATCGGCGGACAGTTCTTTTTTACACCACCAAGCTGATGGAATGCATTTCAGATGATTTAATTTATCGCTATAAAGCATCCCGTGCTGGTTTATATGCTCCTGCAGAAACAGAGCCACTTCCAGGCCTTTTCACCTTAACAATTCTAAGGACTTACTGCGCAATGCTGACAAACTAATCATCCACATTGTGGAAACTCGGTATTTCCCAGTGTTGCATACATAAAAGGAAATAAAAGCAGATTAAATCCGACAACCCACTCATTGTTTACGTTTCACGAAGCTCAACAATGAGTCCTTCTGATCTCCTAAATATGACATATTATCTTGTAATTATGAGACAACAATCTCATGTTGAGATTAGGATTATGAGATTTTTTTCTCATAATTACGAGGTTCCGATTACGTAATTATGAGAAAGAATCTCATAATCCTAATCTCAACATGCGATTTTTCTAATAAATATGAGATTTTTTTTCATAATTACGAGGTTCCGATTTCGTAATTATGAGAAAGAATCTCATAATCCTAATCTCAAGATGCGATTTTTTTCTCATAAATATGAGATTTTCTTTTCTCATAATTACGAGGTTCCGATTTCATAACTATGAGAAATAATCTCATAATCCGAATCTCAACATACAAATTTTTCTTATAAATGAGATTATTTTTCTCATAATTACGAGGTTCCGATTTCGTAATTATGAGAAACAATCTCATAATCCTAATCTCAGCATGCGATTTTTTTCTTATAAATGAGATTTTTTTTTCTCATTATTACGAGATTCCGATTTCGTAATTATTATTAGAAAGAATCTCATAATCCTAATTTCAACATGCAATTTTTTTCTCATAATTGAGATTTCTTTCTCATAATTACGAGGTTCCGATTTCGTCATTATGAGAAAGAATCTCATAATCCTAATCTCAACATACGATTTTTTTTCTCATAAACATGAGATTATTTTTCTCATTATTACGAGATTCCGATTTCGTAATTATGAGAAAGAATCTCATAATCCTAATCTCAACATGCGATTTTTTTTCTCATAAACATGAGATTATTTTTCTCATTGTTACGAGGTTCCGATTTCGTAACTATGAGAATCTCATAATCCGAATCTCAACATGCAAATTTTTCTTATAAATGAGATTATTTTTCTCATAATTACAAGGTTCCGATTTCGTACTTATGAGAAACAATCTCATAATCCTAATCTCGGCATGCGATTTTTTTCTTATAAATGAGATTTTTTTTCTCATTATTACGAGATTCCGATTTCGTAATTATTATTAGAAAGAATCTCATAATCCTAATCTCAACATGCGATTTTTTTTCTCATAAATATGTGATTTTTTTCCTCATAATTACGAGGTTTCCGATTTTGTAATTATGAGAAAGAATCTCATAATCCTAATCTCAACATGCAATTTTTTTCTCATAAATGACATTTTTTTCTCATAATTACGAGGTTCCGATTTCGTAATTATGAGAAAGAATCTCATAATCCTAATCTCAAAATGCGATTTTTTTTTCCCCGCATAAATATGAGATTATTTTTCTCATAATTACAAGATTTATGTTTTCTTTGGTGAATGCAACGCGCTTCCCTATATAGCAAAACAAAAAGCACTTTCTTATATACTTATATATTTTTTTGCTTCACCACTAAATTGAATATAGGGGAAATGAACCCAGTAAAGAATATTTAATGGGAAGTTGAGAAGGTTTCGCAGTAACAGAACGTTTCAAAAGTAATAAAACTGTTGTAGTAGTGGGGATAAACCTCTACATGCATGTGGTTAGTGTGGGAGAAAAACAAATAAAATCACAATATTGGTTGCAAAAAAAAAAATCTGGATTTAAAATTTTGGCAGAATTATTCACCCCTATGCATTATAATAATAATTCCCCAGTTAAAACGGCTGTGGATGGTTTAGCATTAGAATTGGTTATGGAACCCAGTGAAGCTTTATTTCAGGCAAAGTTTCTCCAAATCGGCACAAAGTATTGTGAACATGGAGGCTGCAGCTCCTTATTTAACATCTTTATGTTTTATTGTGGATAAGGTCTCCTCTAAAACCATTGAAGCGGTGAACTCTGTATCCAAGCTGGGTTTTTCTAGAAGCTGCTGGTGGCCAGGCTCATTTTGAAACGTACTGGTGTTTGTGTTCATGAAGACTGTTCCTCAATCACACACCTGGTCACTCACTCATGTTCCTCCACTGGGTTTTCTCTGGAGCAGTGCGACAGCGACTCTTAGCAATGATTGGTTCCTCCAGACTGACGCTGAGGGTGATACCCACTCCCTCATCAACTGGCCTTCCAGGTACACCACACAGGCTCTTTGTGTGTCATTTACTTCACCTTCATCAAGCTTGACTAAAAGCCAGACCCACCATCCTTCATGAGCAGAACTTCCCAAACTGCTCACCTTCCTGTGACTCTGGACCATCATACTGCTAACTGCATATGGGTGCTGTCCTACATGGAGGAACGCTGCTGTTTAAGGATGCCTGCATTTAGATTTGGAGTCATCTGACATCATCATCATCCTTACTATACCGTATTTTCACGCCCATAAGGCGCACCGTACTAAAAGGCGCACTCTCAGTTATGTGTGCCATTACTGTATTTAACACACACATCTCACAGAGATATGATGTGGCAAAGGGAAGAAGAATGCACACAGCTCTCTGCCCGATGAGTGGATACTCCCTCTCCACTCCAAACTAGAAACATGAACATGTGGCTGTGTGAATCAAACGCCGTTATTTATTTAAGATAAAACATTTCAAATTCAGTTATTTATGATCAACCTGCGCCGTCAATCCCGGCGCATGTGCGCTTCATTTGCAGTCTGGACGCTGAGGGTAAACATGCTGTGTCTCTGACTGCAGCGCTGAGAGGGACTCCTGCGATAGCGGGGGAGAACGGGGTTGGGAGGGAGGAGGCGCCCCACGGCAGCAGGACAAGAAAAGGAACGATACGTGCTTTCCCGTAACCCCCAGATTCCACATACTCCGTCAGCGCTCCGCTCCGCTCCGCCCCGCTGACGTACGTCGTGCGGAGCGCTTGTCTTTCATGGAAATCAATGAGAGCTGTTCCACATCCACCGCTACTCCTCCGCACGTCTCCGTCCACGTACGTCTTCTCCGTCCGTCACCGACAAATTACGGAGCCGAGCTATTTTTTGCTCCGCTCCGGTCCGGCCAGGTCAAGATCCGCAATTGCAATCGCACAAACAGGAAAAAGAACCTCGACAAATTCCGGTTCGTCAAATTAAAATATAGTAGCAACAGATCGGTGACTAGAAATTATAGCACAATTCTTATAAATATCTAAAAAAAAAAAAAAAAAACTAACACCGTTTATTTAAATGATTGGATCCAAACTATTGGTTATTCACCAACCAGGAAGCAGATTTCTCATCTCCATCAAAATATTTATTTTATACCGAGGGACTTAGTTTAATCAAATCCATTCAAAAGAAACTTCTTATTACATGAATGAAAAGAGATGCTAAGTTGTAGAGAACAAGTTCATAAAAAAAAAAGCAGTTTTGAATTATCCTTATCTCTGTTACAAAAATCTACAAAAAAAAAAAAAAATAAAATATATATATATATATATATATATTTGGGCAGAAACTGAACATATGCTGGATGATGGTGGGATTTTTTTAATATGTCATATTAAATTAAGCGCTCACAGGGTTCATACAGGAATGAGTGACTCTAATTTAATGCTATTTTAATGCTATTTGAAATAATTTTAATGCCATTAACAAGAACCATGTACACAAGTTATTAGTGTACATGAAATATGAAGGAGCTGCAAGCAGAGTTCCATGACTCCTGTATGTATGTAAAAAGACACACACACACACACACACATATATACGTATATATATTCTCTAGCTTTTTCTCCGCCTCGAGCTTCCTTTCCGAACATACGGCTTTATAAACAGTTCCACGCAAATTAATAGCGATATAATATATCTGACGAAATTGTTTTTAGAAGCATTTTTATTAAAGAATCATAAATGCAACGATAAACATATTTAATTAATTTTAGTGCCAATTAAGGGCTTGATTAAAAAAAGAATTATGAATTGTAATTATTTTTAATGATCCGCGGAAACCCTGGTTCATCTGGCGCATGCCCTCTACGATCTCCAAGGAACTCAGAGCGGAGCGGAGGGGACAGCGGCGGCTGTAGGCTTTGCTTTGTGCAGGCGGTCTGGAGCGCAGCGGGGCGGAGCGCTGACGGAGTATGTTCTCCAAAAGTCGCTAGATTTGTCGCTAGTCGCTTTTTTGAAAAAGAGTCGCTGGAGGGGTCTGAAATATGGCGACAAAGTCGCTGAGTTGGCAACAGTTGGGCGCGAAAGTTTATTCCGTTACAAATAATATGCCGACGTCACGTCAATCATCATTTTGGCACTTCAGTTCCAGGTGAAATTTTTCTCATATCTAATGTTCTTTTAATTAGACTGCATGTAGGCTAGTAATGATTACTTTGTGGGTTTGATTAGTCTAAAAAGCGGCAACATACAGCTATAAGGACAGTTTGCTCTCACACGTTATACAGGTGCTGGTCATAAAATTAGAATATCATGAAAAAGTAGATTGATTTCAGTAATTCCATTTAAAAAGTGAAACTTGTATATTATATTCATACATTACATACAAACTCATATATTTCAGATGTTTATTTTGTTTAATTTTGATGATTACAAATGACAACAAATGAAAATCTCAAATTCATCATATCAGAAAATTAGAATATTACTGAAGACCAATAAAAACAAAGGATTTATAGAAATGTTGGCCAACTGAAAAGTATGAACATGAAAAGTATGAGCATGTACAGCACTCAGTATTTAGTTGGGCCTCCTTTGGCCTGTATTACTGCAGCAATGCGGCGTGGCATGGAGTCGATCAGTCTGTGGCACTGCTCAGGTGTTATGATAGCCCAGGTTGCTCTAATAGTGGCTTTTAGCTCTTCTGAATTGTTGGGTCTGGTGTATTGCATCTTCTTCTTCACAATACCCCATAGATTTTCTATGGGGTTAAGGTCAGGAGAGTTTGCTGGCCAATTAAGAACAGGGATACCATGGTCCTTCAACCAGGTACTGGTAGCTTTGGCACTGTGTGCAGGTGCCAAGTCCTGTTGGAAAATGAAATCTGCATCTCCAAAAAGTTGGTCAGCTGCAGGAAGCATGAAGTGCTCTAAAACTTCCTGGTATGTGGCTGCGTTGACCCTGGACCTCAGAAAACACAATCGACCAACACCAGCAGATGACATGGCACCCCAAACCATCACTGACTGTGGAAACTTTACACTGGACTTCAAGCAACGTGGATGAAGTGCCTCTCTTCTTTTCCTCCAGACTCTGGGACCTTGATTTCCAAAGGAAATGCAAAATTTACTTTCATCAGAGAACATGACTTTGGACCACTCACCAGCAGTCCAGTCCTGTTTCTCTTTAGCCCAGGCAAGACGCTTCTGACGCTGTCTGTGGTTCAAGAGTGGCTTGACACAAGGAATGCGACAGCAGAAACCCATGTCTTTCATACGTCTGTGTGTGGTGGTTCTTGAAGCACTCACTCCAGCTGCAGTCCACTCTTTGTGAATCTCCCCCACATTTTTGAAGGGGTTTTGTTTCACAATCCTCTCCAGGGTGCGGTTATCTCTCTTGCTTGTACACTTTTTTCGACCACATCTTTTCCTTCCCTTCGCCTCTCTATTAATGTGCTTGGACACTGAGCTCTGTGAACAGCCAGCCTCTTTAGCGATGACCTTTTGTGTCTTGCCCTCCTTGTGCAAGGTGTCGATGGTCGTCTTTTGGACAACTGTCAAGTCAGCAGTCTTCCCCATGATTGTGTAGCCTATAGAACTAGACTGAAAGACCATTTAAAGGCTTTTGCAGGTGGTTTGAGTTAATTAGCTGATTAGAGTGTGGCACCAGGGGCCATCAATTTTGAACCTTTTCACAATATTCTAATTTTCTGATATGATGAATTTGAGATTTTCATTTGTTGTCATTTGTAATCATCAAAATTAAACAAAATAAACATCTGAAATATATGAGTTTGTATGTAATGTATGAATATAATATACAAGTTTCACTTTTTAAATGGAATTACTGAAATCAATCTACTTTTTCATGATATTCTAATTTTATGACCAGCACCTGTAGTCACACACACACACACACACACACACACACACACACACCGGAACTTGGCGCCCCCCACCTGTCACGTCTCAATTCCCCACCAGTGGGTCGCGCCACACACTTTGAGAACCGCGGCGTTAGCCCAAGCATCTACAATCCATCTGCTAACTGTGGCGTAACTTGCCCGGCGCCGCCTTCCACTTTTCATGAAACTGTGGTCTCCATCGGTCATCCATCGCTCCTTACTTTGAACGGCCGGTTCACACCGATGTCGAGCGGTTGAAGTTCCTTTGTCAGACCTCCCAGAATAACAGCGAGCACAGCGTTCATTTGTTTCACCTCGTTTTTCACATCGGCTGTGAGATGGGCACGCATGGAGTCACAGATTAACAGCGATGGTGATGAGTGGAAAAAACCACCTGGTCTCCTTACATTCACCTCCCTCAGCCACGCTTTCATCATCTCCTCATCCATCCAGCCCTTTTCATTTGCCTTAAAGGTATACTATGCAACCCGTGTTGATTTTCCAGCGAGGCTCCCCCCAAATAGCAAGCGATGCAGTTATCACCTACCACAACAGCAATGTTTAGGCAGCAAGCTAACTAACTTGCTGACTAATAAAATGAACATCCCGCTAGCTACTTAACTACTCAGCAACAGACCACAATCATACAAGTCGAAAAAACGGCAGTACAAACAATGACTAACACAGTGAAAGTATGAACATGCACACAGAGAGAGAGAAACCATTCCAATGTTACTTACAATCGCATCAGTAGAAACGCGAGGTCCGCGTCAGCCTTGCAGCCTTCGTTTTCTTTTAGCTCTCGCCATTCGGAAAAAGCTTGCCCGATGTTCACCCGTGTACGACTCCTCTCTCTGTCCAGAGCCCTTTTCCTCTTTCTTGCCTGCTCCGACATGGGCTTTCGCTGTTTTCTCGCTGGTTCCGCCATGATAACTGCACAAAGATTGCCACTGTGCTAGCAACGAGCATGCCTTTCACTGGGGGCGTTTAGCAGTTCTCGCCGTAAAGCAAGACCGACTCTCACGAGACTTCTGAGCCTGTGGGTGCGGGCCGAGGGCTCCTGCAATTGCAAGTACGGCATTTCCCCTACAGACCACCAGGGCGGCCGAGAAAACCTTTGTTCGACCTGAAATGACTCATTTAATCATCCAAAATGTTATGGAACACATTAATTAACTGAAAAATGTTGCATAGTATGCCTTTAATAACAGCAGCTGGAAAAGTCTCTTTACGCAAAGTCTTTCTCTTAAAAATCACCATAGGCAGCAATTTCTGTCCACGCCCACACTTCCCCCTTTAACGTTCTCATGGGGGTCTCAACAACGTCCGCAGTAACAACACACATAGGGCGTGCCGCACATTTTGAGGGGAAAAAAAGACGTTTACATGCGCCCTATAGTCGCGAAAATACGGTAACTAAGTGCCCACTGGTTTTTAACATCATCTCCCCTTTATCATCCTTTATATAAAACATCACTGAGAAACTTCTACGCTCTCTACATGCTAACGCCCTTTTATGCTGATGACCTGGAATGAAATCCAGTGAATTTCCTTCAAATGACCAGTTTGTGTAGTTTGTAAATGCCTGTATGTTGTTTATTCCTGCTACCCTGGGACTGTTCCACAGGTTTATTGGAAACTAATGAATGAAGACCATGATAAAGAAGGAGAAACACAGCAGACATCTCAAGATTAAAGTTATGGATAATTAGGGTTGCGCTATGATTAGTGGTGGGCCGTTATTGGCCTTAAAGCCAGACTCCAGGGCTGAAAGAATTCATTTGATTAAATGTGATGAATCGATTATTGAAATAATCGTCAACTAATTTAGGTATTGATTAATCCTTAACTGGAGTGTAGAGAGTCTGAAACGTGTCTTTAGCTGACAGGAGGTACTATTTAGAGCAGCAATTATACTAAGATTGTAAAATAAATGTACAAATATTTTGTGTTTTAAGATGAAAAAATGTTTTTATCTGTCAGTATGCTCTATCTAGAGCTCCTCAAGTAAAAATGTTTTGGATTTCGTAAAAAGTCTTCTTTAAGAGACATCTTGCTATCCGATTTTTAATCGATTAATGGGAAAAAATTGTCTGTAAACTCCTACTATCCCTGATTCAGTGCCGTAGCTTCTGTATCCTTCAACTTAACGAGCTTTAGCCTTTTTAACCCATTTATTGTTGGATATGCCTGATACCAGATAAAATGGTGCTTTTTATCAAGTACATTTTCTTCCATTATTGTTGCAAAGAACATATTTTGTAAACATAAATCTGAGAAAACTGCAATCCAGAAATGAAATTTCCTAATAAAGAAAAAAACGTAAAAAAAAAGAGTAACTTTATTTTAGTCACATTTTTTTTTACTTTATTTATATTTAACATATTCTTTATTCACCTTTTTCTTATTCAGATTGAAGTATACCAAATACACTTTACAGATCCCCGTCTCTTTACTTTATAACAATCCAAACACTAACATCCATGCAAAAGATTGGAATTGGAAAAGAATGCAATTTGTAAAACTCTAAAAATAAAAAATAAATTAAAATAAGGAAAAAAAACTAACTGGAAGAAAATAGAAAATCATAAAAAAAAATAACTGGAAGAAAACCAAATCTGAGAAAACATCCAAGGTACTTTTATTTATTTTATTTATTTTTTTTTTTATTATTTTTTTTTTTCCCTAGTTATATTTCTGGACTGCATTTTGTTCAGAATTCTGTTGCAAAAATGTAGTTTTTTTTGTTTGTTTGTTTGTTTGTTTTTTTCCCATTTACAAAATGTGTACTTTGCTTGCAACAATATTGGTACAAACTTTACTCCATACTCTATGTCTGGTCAATGGAAGGAGATGCATGAGACGAACAGGGACTAACATTATAATTTTTTTCCCGGCCATTTTAGGATCCTTAGTTAGACCGACGTCCATTTCTGTTTTCAAACAACACAAGTTTGTATTTGCTGTACTTTGTCTACCATATTGTGCCAAATGGTAACTGGTTTATTTGTTTCCTTAAAGAATAAAAGTTAGGGAGAGGCTTGCCAGGGAGGAGGGGCACCACACTAACCCAGAGCTGGAAAATGTTTCTGAAGTGTCGGGGTACCACAGACGGCTTCACCACGGGCCCCAGATCTCTGCTCCGACCCGCTGCCACAGAGAGCCAGCAGGCCCCCAGAAATACCACGACCCACAAGCTCACTTCAGCAGGTCCAGTCACCAAGGAGGAGAGGATGTGGGTGGTTACCCCAGTTACCTATCCATGGCCTCTGGTCCCGCATCCAGAGCCGAGCAGCAGCAGGAAAAACCGGCGAGTTGGGATGAGACGGAGGAACCTGAGGGGGTGAAAACGGAGGGTCTCCTGAGGAGCAGGAAAGCCGTTTTACCTTCAGAGATCCGCCGCAGGGAGAGAAGCACAGAGGACCTGCAGAGAGGAAGAAGTGAGGAGGAACCTGAGCTGTGCACCGTCTACGGCCTCATCCAGGCTGGAGACGCTGCTGCGGAGGAACGCGCAAGATCTGGAGTCATGGGCCGAGCCAGAGCAGAGAGACCGGACCACTGTACCCCCCTGCAGGCAGCAGAGCGCCGACCCCGAGGGCAACAACACATTTACGTTCACAAAGGACCGACAGCCACCCACATCCATCCCACCGCTTTATACCCGATCCAAGGACCCCCCTCCAGCACCTCTGTAGACCACCCACCATCAGACGTAGGCTTCAATCAAAGAAGCCAACATCAGCAGCTTCAGGACGAGTGCGAAGGCGCGGGGAACGCAGAGAATCCTCCGGAACGCCGTGTGTCTGTGGCCAAGCTCAGGCATTCCTACATGGAGAGCACCAGCACACCTCCGAGCAGGCGCAGGAAGGAGCTGTAGGTGGAGAAGCTGAATGTTTCTACTGCTGATCATCTAACACCGTCTGAATGCTCACTAACAAGAAACTAAACCATATGAGGTCACCACTAAAGCAGAGCGGCTCTAAGCTCTGCGCCGCAGCTACATTCACCTACTAACTACCCTAACATGACTGGCTCCGGTTCTACAAGGGCCCGGGGCCCACGCATGCTTCCACTGCTAACTGTTCTGCATGCCGTTGCTACTGTGCTGGACTTAGCAGGTACCGTTTACTCGTCTCCCTCACCAGACTGTGTTTTCTGTCTCCATTGGGCCCTCCGTCCGACCCTTTGACCTCCTCCAGTGACACCGAGGGTCAGAGCGAACATGACGGCTACAAGGCTCCATGGAGAGGCGCGAGGGAAAGGGGCCCCCACCCCCAGCACTGTCCCCGGGACGGTCGAAAGACTCAGCCAATCCCTTCTGCTGAACGGCAGGAGAATATTAGGTATTTCTGGGTTTAGGAATATGTGGCTTGGTTTGAGGAACGAAAATTAAACGAATAATCAGAAGGTCTGGTTTTGTTAAAAAGGTCTGATAGATTTTCTAATTAATGATTATTTAAATGGAGATTATTTAAATATGATTCAGGTAGGGATGCACGATATGGGGATTTTGGCCGGTATCCAATATGCCGATATTTTAAAACTCATGTAGCCGATAACCGATATCGAGTCATTGAAAATAGCAGTTTTGTTATCCATTTCTGACACTTTGAAAAATAATATACTCAAATATATTTTCATACGCTGATATCAAATAGATTTTTAAAAACGCGGTATCGATCTATTTTACTTTCAAAATCTTGTGAAATTTCATCGTTGTGTTACAAACTCTCGTGATATTTTGCAAATTCTTGTGAGATTTTGTTAGTAAAATAGATCGATACCGCGTCAATATATCAACATATAAAAATATGGCAACATTTCGTGAATTTTCGGGGGATTTCGTAGCATAACGATGACATATAGCAATATTTAATTAGTAAAAGAGATTGATATGGTGTTTTTAAATGGCAATATATCAGCATATGAAGATATTGGGATATTTTAATGTATCAATATTTTTTCCCTCGTTTTTAGAAGTTTTTAAGTCTGTAAAAAAGAATTTTTTGAGGAAGAAGAAGTAGTATTTTTATTTTTTTTTTAGACTTTAGAAACTCAGAAGCTGATCAAATATCGGGTTAAATATCGGTGGGGTGGCCGATGTCCGATATTCAGTTTTAAGGCTGATACCGATAGGGGGCCGATTATATCGTACATCCCTAGATTCAGGCCATAATGTTTTAGTTTATTCAGTCGTATAGAGTGAATCTTTTTTCTTTATTGATGCTAAAATGGAACCGATTGTGTAAATTGAAATTTGGGAGAGAAAAAAGAAACAATCCAGAAATTAAACAAGTAAAAAAACAAGGTTGTGAGTAAACTTTAAGGTTTTTTTTTGTTTGTTTTTTTTGTTTTTTCCAGATAAAATTTTTTTTTCTTTTTTTTTTTTTACAGATTTTCCTATCTTCTTTTTATGATGTTTAACCTTTTGCATTCTTTTGAGAGTGCTTTTATCGGATCAGATTCTCTGTACTTGTTGGGGCGGGCTTTCCATGGCAGTGAGGAATGAACGCTCGTTTCTATTGGTCAGCTTGAACTGTTGCATTTTTGTTTTTGTTTTTGTTTTTTGGTCAACGATCATGTCAGGAGTTTGTAGTGGGATTAAAACGAAGAGAATCTGATCTGTAAATTGAAATTTGAAAGGAATACGGATATTAAAACTTACTCTGGAAATTTACAATGAAATAAATATATAAATTCTTTAAAACCTGTATGAGGAAAATTAAGCTTGAAAAAAAAAAATTTAAATTTTATTTCAAAGAATTATTTATTTTGAAAACATATTTAAAAAAACAAAGTCTTTAAAAGTTTTCCAAATATAAAAAAAAATAATTTGAAAATCTGACAAAATAAGTTACTTTTCATAATTTCATTTTCGTTATTTCCATTTACAAAACAATTTTTGCTCAAATTTAATGGAGCAAAAATAGCTCCATACAGTCTAGGATTAATTTGATAAACGACCATAAAAACGCTCCTCGGTAACAACTTTTAGTAACAAGAAGCTTATTGGCCAAAGGTTCCTCTGATCGGATGTTGGCAGCAGTCTTCCCATGTGACCACAGCACATAGGCATGAATTGTAAGAAATGAGATCCAAAGATCAGAGAATCAAAGGTCCTTAATGCTGCCTTACGCTCCTACTTAGGCTGCTTTGCTGTTTCCTTTTTTTCTTTTCATTTTCTCTCTGCAAAATCGCAGCAGCTAACTTTCTCTGCAACTCCTCTCCTCAACCAATCATCAATTTAGTTGTTTTTTTTTACAGTTTTTAATGATTGTTCTCTCCTCTGTTTTGCTTTTAAAGGTCTTGTGTGAGCTCAGACTTTGCTTCTGCTGAAGGTAAGTCCTGTTTTTGTAAAATGCAATGTAGACTTGTGGCTAAAATTTGCATTTCAAAGTATCAAGGGTAAAGATTTAGATTTGTTTTTGTACCGATTGTGAATTCTGTACCTATTCCCTACGACGACAGTAAACCTTCACATCAGTGCTCTAATATGGGAGAATTATCCTGCCATAATGCAAGAGCACATAATTTCAATTTGAGAAAAGAATTTCATCTTCTTACACTTAAAACTTATAATGCTGACACTCAAAACATGCGCACTCTCTCAAATATTTTCTTTTCTCTCTCAAATCTTTGTTTCTTCTCTCAGATTTAATGCTTCTTGCACAGATATTTTCTCCTCTCGCTTGCCTCCTTTTCTTCACGCACAAACCGCGCTCTGCTCGAGTCTCAGTTACGCTCGCAAACCCGTAGGCTCTGCTTGCGGATTTTTTTTGCTCTCTCTCAGATTGGATCCAATCGTCGCCTAGCAACCTTTCCAGCCAATAGAACGACAGCTTCGGAAAGGGTGCGCTTGTCTAACTCTACTGAGTGTGCCTGTGATAAACCTTACCGACAATAAAATGGCTTTTTAATTTAAAAGCTATTAAAATAAGAAGCTGAAAAACAACAATAATCAGGAAAATAAAAAAAAGGAAATAATAAAGGGCGATTCAAGAATCACCAATGAAAAGTCACCTAATTTCTGCTGGAGGCAGAATTAGCATCTGCCCTGACTAGCAAATTTTTATTTATTTTTTTTCTGACGAGCAACTCTGAGGCGGGAGTTTTCTGTTCACATCACGTCACGTCTGAAAATTGATAGCTTTTAAATTAAAAAGCCGATTTATTGTCGGTAAGGTAACTACTGAGTAAGGTAACTCAGTAGAGTTAGACAAGCGCCCCCTTTCTGAGGCTGTCGTTCTATTGGCTGGAAAGGTTGCTAGGCGACGATTGGATCCAATCCGAGAGAGAGCAAAAAAAATCCGCAAGCAGAGCCTACGGGTTTGCGAGCGTATCTGAGACTCGAGCAGAGCGCGGTTTGTGCGCCAAGAGAAGGAGGAGAAAAGAGAAAAGCAAGAGGAGAAAATATCTGTGCAAGAAGCATTAAATCTGAGAGAAGAGAAAATATTTGAGAGAGAGCGCATGTTTTGAGTGTTACATTATAAGTTTTGAGTGCAAGAAGATGAAATTCTTCTTGTTGCACAGTAGGTTTCCTAAACATACTGTAAACGCCTCACCTGCAGTAGGTGAGTTTTTTCACGTCTTTTTTCGCTCCATCTTGCCATCAGTTTGGGGTCCTTAGCCTGGGAAACGTTGAAGACCCCTGGTCTAATCAAATGTATTTGCGTGGACACAGCAAAGCTAACAAGGATGTTGCAGGCATTTAAACTGCATAAGCAGGATGTCGAGTTAAATAGTATTTACCACATTTTGAAGCTGTAGGGGGATTTGCTTTGAACACAGAGAGTGAGGCTGCTTGTCTCAAAGATCGTATTTTGAAGAAAGAGGAAGTGATGCATCGTGGAGCCGAGTTTGCAGTCATTAACGGCGCTCACAGTAGCATAACGCGGCAGCGAGGGCCAAAAGCAACTCATCTGGTTCTCATAAACACACTTTCAGCGTGGACACTTTGGTACTGACAAGAATTATGTTCAGTGGAGTCAATCAAAGGAAATAGTTGCTTGGTGATGTCATGTGTGTTCAATGTGTGGAGTAATGCCACACACACCTGCAGGTCTTTAGAAGACGTTATTTGTGGTTGTTTAATGGTTCACTCTCTATAAATGTAGATCTTTTTTATGGTGCTATGTGCTTAGAATAAAAGTGCGGATTATGATGCAGCATTTTAAGGTAAAGTTAAACTAAAATGTGAACTGAAATGTAGGGGGTGGCTTCATGGACACGCACATGAGAAAGATGGTGTAAGCTGACATCTGTTAAGATTTACCCAACTTGTGGAGCTGATAAACAAACTGTCCTCCTCCATGATTTATTTTCAGAGGCAGGGGGGGTCTGGGATTCTTAACTTCAGTAATTGGTTCCAGGTCCGACTTTTTTGGGGGGGGGTTTCTCAGCGTTTGGGGGAAACGAACATGAAAGAAACCATCTTGAAAGGGCTTTGAAGTGCAGCTGAAGGAGCTGATTTTACATTAGTTTTTTTTTTTTTTTTTGTTAACACTCCTTTTGTTAAATAAAAATAAAAAGAACATTTAACAATAAGATCCCCAGAGGTCTGATACCAGTAGATTTCTACTTCAGTAAATTTGGTCTGTGACATTCTGGCCAAAAGGATGCAGGATTAGTGATGATGTCATAGACTGAAATGGTTCTAGCATGCTACATTGGCTCATTATGAATATAAATCAGTTTCACTACACAAATTATAAATTGGTAAACTCGGACAATAAACGCAACAATTATATACAGTGTTAGGGTTAAACTGCAAGAACAATGGAGATGTTAAAAATCTACCCGCTTCAGCCGTTGACCAATACTTCCTTAATGACCGACCTTTAACAATCAATAGACAGGTTTCAGGTATTACAGGCTAACGATGGAACCAAACGACCCATTCATCGGTTACATTCGCATGGTTCCAAGCAATACAAGGCCTTGTCTATATAAGACTCAAACTCAATGCGGATCCAGACATTTGAATTGAGAAATTTTCCTGGAGAGGTGGAGAAACGTCTTCAAATCTTGAAACCAAGTCCAGTGGATATTTTTTGAACTTTTACAGAATGACTATGACCTGGATGACTGAGAATCTTCATCAGCATATTAAAAATCTAGACATTTAACGAACACAAAAACAATTACAAGATGAGAGAATCAATCTAATGCACTTTTTTGTTCTTCACAAGTACAAAACTGAAGAATAGGGGGTGTGCAAAATAATTGTCATGAGGATGCATCGTGATTCTAATTTTTGTGATCTACTGCATCGATTCTTGACGCCAAGTATCGATTATTAATTTAAAAAAATAAATAAATAAAATTGTGTGAATGGTTGGCGAACATCCGCCAAAAACAAGTGTAATACAACTTCCAGTCCAGCAGATGTCGCTGCAAATGTGTTGACGCACGCTGCCTTGTGTCACAAGCATTTCCGGCCGCGGGATACTGTGCAGAGTCATTCAAAAACAAAACATGGAGGAGAAAATATTGCAATGCATCGCAATAATTCAAGTATCATGATGCATTGGGATAGAATCGCATCGTGGCCTGTGAATCGTGATTCGAATCGAATCGTTACTTCTTTGGCAATACCGACCCCTACTGAAGAAGCACATTTTGTCTTGTAGCGAAGATTTTATGGAGGTTGATGTGCTGCTTTTCCATTCCAACCTCACTAATTGCTGGACGAAGTAACCTACATCTAGCAATCAGTGAGGTAAATGATATATAGTTCTACTTTTCTTTAACAGATTTATCCCAGGTCTAGTTACCCCAGGTCTAGTTACACCATGTTTGACAAAAGTCTTGAGCCCCATTTCCACTACCCTTGAAAAACCGATCCATTCCGAGACCAATCCAAGCTCGGATCAGTTAACCAGGCCGAGCTCGGTTCTGACGACCGTTTACACATCACGCTATCTCGGTTCCTTGACTCCTCGCCTCCTAGTGACGATCTGCGGTATTACTGCCAGTATTGAAGGAGGGAATCAAGCAGCTGGTGGCGGTAATGCACCAAAAGTTGTTTAACAACCGCCATAAAACACAAGAAGAAGAAGACGAAGAAGGAGGAAATCAAGCAGTTGGTGGCGGTAATGCACCAAAAGTTGTTTGCCAACCGCCATAAAACACAAGAAGAAGAAGACGAAGAAGGAGGGAATCAAGCAGTTGGTGGCGGTAATGCACCAAAAGTTGTTTGCCAACCGCCATAACACACAAGAATAAGAAGACAAAGGAGGAAATCAAGCAGTTGGTGGCGGTAATGCACCAAAAGTTGTTTGCCAACCGCCATAACACACAAGAAGAAGAAGACGAAGAAGGAGGAAATCAAGCAGTTGGTGGCGGTAATGCACCAAAAGTTGTTTGCCAGCCGCCATAAAACACAAGAAGAAGAAGACGAAGGAGGAGGAAATCAAGCAGTCGGTGGCGGTCATGCACCAAAAGTTGTTTGCCAGCTGCCATAAAATACAAGAAGAAGAGGACGAAGGAGGGAATCAAGCAGTTGGTGGCGGTAATGTACCAAAAGTTGTTTGCCAACCGCCATAAAACACAAGAAGAAGAAGACGAAGAAGGAGGGAATCAGCACATCAAAATGGCGGCGCCCGTCACATTCAGAAAGTTATGTTTGATTATTATTGCTGTACTTCGCTGTTTAAATGCCATTATTTAAAATGTTGGGTGGAGAAGATTTCGATTGTTTATAGTTAAAGAAGTTGTTCTTCTGATTCTGTTTCCGGAGGGGCATTACCGCCAACTAATGGAATGGAGTGTGAATCGCGATGTGCAGCCAGACGGAGATGACGCGTTCTGCTCATGCACTCTTGTTATCAGAAAACCGAGCCAGGGAAAAACCGAGCCAAGCCCACCTCTGGAACTGGTCTACAGTTAGCTCGGTTCGGTTGTGTCTTCAGTTTAGTTTGCTTTCTATTTACACACGATAAGTTATCTCAGTTACTGAGCTTGGGTAGTGTAAATGGGGTATATGAGCGCTTATCACATATGTTTGCGCTGTTTAGAAAAAAAGTTTAGTTTTGGAATAATGTGGCCTATATGTTACCTGAATTGTTTTTTATATTTTGTGGAAAAACAGCATTGAACTAAAGGACATACAGAATTAGGAAAAGTCAGATAACAAACCCAACATAAGATTAATTTAACCAAAATGATTTCACTTCAAAATCTAAAAAAAACATGAGAATGACTGCCTTTGGAGTTCTATTTGTTAAAGAGAGCCGTAACCCGGCTTTGAAATTAAGTATAAACAATGTGCCCAAACTTATAAGACTCTGTGTTCAGTAGGTTGTTTATGGAAAAATTACTTCTATTAACCGCCGCCATGTTATAACCCGCCACCAGGACGACCAATATAAACCTTGATAGTTAGACATTCTGTTATTAGTGACATTCGTCCCCCATTGTTATGGGCCTTTGATCTAGTGCCCTGTCTTTAACAAAGGGCAAACCCTGCATGCTCCATATCCTCTTCCATCACTTTATTACTGTCTGGATGAAGCTGTTTGGGGCATTAACACCAACGCCCCAATTGATCAAAGGACTCATGAAGTTCTGATGGTTATTTATAGCTCATCTCCAAAGAAGAAGGTCATTGAGTTCGCCAAAAGACAATAAATCTAGTGTGTTTTGGCTTTAAAGATGTTGTATATTTATATTCAAGGAAAGGCAAGTGGTCCAATGTTCCAGTAACCTCATTATTTTGTGTCTTTTTCGTAGCTGATGAAGAAAAGCTGGATGAACGAGCCAAGCTGAGCGTAGCAGCAAAGCGGTCGCTCTTCAGGGTGAGTTGCAGCTCTTGCCCATTTGGGCGATTGGTTACTTTGGGTCTTCACTTTTCCTGGCATCATAAATGGGAGCAAACTGCATGTTCACACCAGAATCTATAAAGTATTCTACTGAGAAAAATAAGTAGATGCTATGTGTCTCCTATATGGCTTATAACATCAGGCAACTTCGCGTTGCATCTCAGAACTCCCTACTAAAGGTTAGATTCATAGCATGAAGTCAGAATTCTGCCAAAAGTACTAGCAATTTTTTTCAAACACGAAAAGCATTTAAACCCTACACATTTTCAATGTGTAATGCTTGCAGATTCAATACCATGATCTCACCAGTGTATCACCACCATGAGTATTAGAATATTTCCGGGGAGTGGCGGCCGATTTGTTAGGGCATTGCGCTTGGAATCCAGAGGTTCTGAGTTCAAGCCCAACTCCGACAGACTGCCACTATGCGTCTCTGAGCAAAGACCATTATAGACCGACACCTTGTCTGGATTTAAAGCTGCAATCATAACCGAACCAAGTAAACTGGATCGGCTGCTCAGCAGCCAAGCGGGCAAAACAGAAGCAGGATCTAGTAGCTCAGAGCATTAACTTTGGAGAGGCTGGCATCAGGGTTCCCGCGGGTCCTTAAAAAGTCTTAAAAGGCATTGAATTCTTCAAAATAAAATTAAGGCCTTCATTGATATTAAAATGTCTTAAATCAGTCTTTCGTTGGTCTTAATTTTTAAAAACATCATAAATAGGATTATTTTTATTACAATTTATTTTTGTAATCTAAATAAAATGTTAAAATTGACAATTTTTTTTTCTTTTTTCATAAAAAAAAAAAAAAAAAGGCTCGCCATTATTGGTTCCGTCCCGAAAGCGGAACCAATAAAAGCGTTGTTGCTGCCGGGACATTTGGGAGATGCACCATTAACTTTTTGTCTGGAAAATATGAGTGTAAATGTAACTAAAATTGTCTCCAGCCAAGAGTTTTCTCCATGGCTAAAACCAGGGAACATACATGAGGCTCAGTGGATTTAGTGCAAGAAGTCATTTAAGCTCAGAACGATGAGAATTAAGGCAGTGGAGTCGCACATGCGAAACGCGAAACACAAAGCGTATTTCTCAGTTTAGTTCCACCCTTGTCTCTGCAACGCCTCCACTTATCACCAAATCAAACATACTAAGAAAACCATACAAAGAAAAATAGCTGCAAAAAAGACTTAGCACTGGTTATTTTGTGGCTTTAAAACTGATTTGTTTTGCTCCCTGCTAAAACAAAGTTTGTCAATTCAGTTAAATAATTGTTCAAATATATCTGTCATTTGTGTGTTTTTAGTTTTCTTCCTGTATGGGAAACTTTTCAAAATTTGAAACATTAGTGCAGTGGTTTATGTTAAAATAAACCTTTGGGTTAAGTTGTCCCAAGCAGGTTTTTCTTGTGTTTCTTGTGAATTTGGTTTTAAATTTTTATTTCAAGTGGCATTAAAAAGTCTTGAATTTAACTTGCCTTATGCTGTAGGAACCCTGAGCATGCCTTGGCTGTTCACTCACTGGATTGCCTACGTCCTCTGCTGCTGATTAGCACAGATACAGTGGTGTTAGCCTCGGACATGCTGGATAGGTTTTACTTGGTCATCCACTAGAATAGACGCACAAAGCTGACGTTAGCTTAGAATTGCAACTTTTAAATCCAGAAACGTACCTTAGGCATCTTAAATCTGCTCTAGTTTAAAAACTTCATTACAAATACTAATACAAATATGCATTGTATTATTCTATAGTACCATATTTTTCAGCCTATAAGTCGCATCTATTTACACATTTCTGCCAGAGGTTGATTTACCATAATAAAACAATTTCACTTATTTTAAATATTCCCCCCTCACTCAAGGTTGCAATGTTGCTTTAAACTTTACATGTAAATAAAATACACCAGCGAATTAAAGTCCGGTGCGACTTGTTTGTGGTTTATTTTGTTAGTGACTGGTGTGACCTATAGTTGAGAAAATAGGAGAATACATTAAATCCAGCAATAGGTATAATTTTGGCAACAATGCAGTTCCATATATTCTAAGGTGCTTTAGAGGAAAACCCTTAACTTCCTCTCTACCTTTTAAACTGACTCAAGTAATAGTGTAAATTTTAAATGTTGTTGCCTGTAATAAACAATTATTTTAGTCATCCATTATTGTATTGATTGTCACAATAAAGTAATCAGACAAAAAAAACTCACATTCTGCAGATTGTCCACTTATTGCTTAAGCGTTTTTAAAGAATAATACGAATACATGGAAAATGCAAATAATTCAGGTTTTTTTGTTAGAAAACAAAAAGCCGCCTTTGGAGTGAAAATGGACATAAACAAAATATTGTGAAAGCATAATCAGGGCTCGATGTTAACCGCTGCCGATCGCCCGGGGCAAGTAGTTTTTATTGTTGGGAAAGTACAAATTTTATTTAAAAAAATATTATTTATCACTCAAAATTACTTTAAAATCACCGACATTCGCTGAAAACGACCCACAAGCTTTGCCGGCGCCATTTTTGTTGTTTTGTACACATTCTCACGTGATTTGAAAAAGCCGCGTGATTTTCCGCTAGACGGCGTGATTCAGCTCTTGAGGAGAGAATTCTTTTGAGGAGAGAATTTTTTTTAACATTACAATTTATATTTTTCCACACAACAGTTTAAAGCAAAGATTAGTTTGAAAATAATGTGCAGGAAGGATTGAAAAGCATGTTAACACGGTAATGTAGGCTTGAGTTCATTATGACGCATGCAGATACACACCAGGAACCTGGAAACTTACTGAATTATAAAAAAACATTTGAAAAGTGTCGGAGGTCGTGGATGAGTCTCCTCTGTCATCCATTTTTTACTTAAAGGAGGAAAGCGGGGACGAAGATGTTGTGGAATAGCAGGGCTCGATGTTAACCATCGCCCGATCTCCTGGGGCAAGTAGTTTTTATTGTTGGGAGAGTACAAATTTCATTGCATTTGCCCAGCGGGCAAGTGCGACGATCGCAATAAAATATTATTTTTCACTCAAAATTACGTTAAAATCACCGACATTCGATGAAAACGATCCAGAAGCGTTGTCGGCGCCATTTTTGTTTGTTTGTACACATTCTCGCGTGATTTGAAAAAGGCGCGTGATTTGAAAACGCCGGGTGATTTTCCGCTAGATGGCGTGATTTTTGTCCACCTTGCGGTAATTTTTATGTAGTTACCAAAACGACAATGAAGCTAGAAAGCGCTATTGTACCTGTGTTTCTGTATCATTTTATTCGCGTAATCACTCAAAAATCACCCACGTTTGAAGAAAACGACCCAAAAGCGTTGTCTTAAATTTTCAACCTGTCAAGTTTTTATTTTTTATTTCTAACATTACAATTTATAATTTCCAAGCACACAACAGTTTAAAGCAAAGTTTAGTTTGAAAAGAAAGTGCAGGAAGGATTGAAAAGCATGTTAACACGGTAATGTAGGCTTGAGTTCATTATCTGACGCATGCAGATACACACCAGGAACCTGGAAACTTACTGAATTATAAAAAAACATTTGAAAAGTGTCGGAGGTCGTGGATGAGTCTCCTCCGTCATCTATTTTTTATTTAAAGGAGGAAAGCGGGTACGAAGATGTTGTGGAATAGCAGGGCTCGATGTTAACCATCGCCCGATCTCCCGATCTCCCGGGGCAAGTAGTTTTTATTGTTGGGAGAGTACAAATTTCATTGAATTTGCCCAGCGGGCAAGTGCGACGATCGCAAAAAAATATTATTTATCACTCAGAATTACGTTAAAATCACCGACATTCGATGAAAACGATCCAGAAGCGTTGCCGGCGCCATTTTTTGTTGTTTTGTACACATTCTCGCGTGATTTTAAAACGCCGGGTGATTTTCCGCTAGATGGCGTGATTTTTGTCCACCTAGCGGTAATTTTGATGTAGTTACCAAAACGACAATGAAGCTAGAAAGCGCTATTGTACCTGTGTTTCTGTTTCATTTTATTCGCATAATCACTCAAAAATCACCTACATTCGAAGAAAACGACCCAAAAGTGTTGTCTTAAATTTCTAACCTGTCAAGTTTTTATTTTTATTTCTAACATTACAATTTATATTTTTCCAAGCACACAACAGTTTAAAGTTTAGTTTGAAAAGAATGTGCAGGAAGGATTGAAAAGCATGTTAACACGGTAATGTAGGCTTGAGTTCATTATCTGACGCATGCAGATACACACCAGGAACCTGGAAACTTACTGAATTATAAAAAAACATTTGAAAAGTGTCGGAGGTCGTGGATGAGTCTCCTCCGTCATCTATTTTTTATTTAAAGGAGGAAAGCGGGTACGAAGATGTTGTGGAATAGCAGGGCTCGATGTTAACCATCGCCCGATCTCCCGATCTCCCGGGGCAAGTAGTTTTTATTGTTGGGAGAGTACAAATTTCATTGAATTTGCCCAGCGGGCAAGTGCGACGATCGCAAAAAAATATTATTTATCACTCAGAATTACGTTAAAATCACCGACATTCGATGAAAACGATCCAGAAGCGTTGCCGGCGCCATTTTTTGTTGTTTTGTACACATTCTCGCGTGATTTTAAAACGCCGGGTGATTTTCCGCTAGATGGCGTGATTTTTGTCCTCCTAGCGGTAATTTTGATGTAGTTACCAAAACGACAATGAAGCTAGAAAGCGCTATTGTACCTGTGTTTCTGTTTCATTTTATTCGCATAATCACTCAAAAATCACCTACATTCGAAGAAAACGACCCAAAAGTGTTGTCTTAAATTTCTAACCTGTCAAGTTTTTATTTTTATTTCTAACATTACAATTTATATTTTTCCAAGCACACAACAGTTTAAAGTTTAGTTTGAAAAGAATGTGCAGGAAGGATTGAAAAGGATGTTAACACGGTAATGTAGGCTTGAGTTCATTATCTGATGCATGCAGATACACACCAGGAACCTGGAAACTTACTGAATTACAAAAAAAAGCATTTGAAAAGTGTCGGAGGTCGTGGATGAGTCTCCTCTGTCATCCATTTTTTATTTAAAGGAGGAAAGTAGGGACGAAGATGTTGTGGAATAGCAGGGCTCGATGTTAACTATTGCCCGATCTCCAAGTAGTTTTTATTGTCGGGAGAGTACAAATTTCATTGCATTTGCCCAGCGGGCAAGTGCGATGATTGCAAAAAAAATATTATTTATCACTCGAAATGACATTAAAATCACCGTCATTCGATGAAAACGATCCAGAAGCGTTGCCAGCGCCATTTTTTGTTGTTTTGTACACATTCTCAAGTGATTTGAAAAAGGCGCGTGATTTTAAAAAGCAGGGTGATTTTCCGCTGGATGGCGTGATTTTTGTCCACCTAGCGGTAATTTTCATGTAGTTACCAAAACGACAATGAAGCTAGAAAGCGCTATTGTACCTGTGTTTCTGTATCATTTTATTCGCGTAATCACTCAAAAATCACCCACGTTCGAAGAAAACGACCCAAAAGCGTTGTCTTAAATTTTCAACCTGTCAAGTTTTTATTTTTTATTTCTAACATTACAATTTATATTTTCCAAGCACACAACAGTTTAAAGCAAAGTTTAGTTTGAAAAGAATGAGCAGGAAGGATTGAAAAGCATGTTAACACGGTAATGTAGGCTTGAGTTCATTATCTGACGCATGCAGATACACACCAGGAACCTGGAAACTTACTGAATTATAAAAAAACATTTGAAAAGTGTCGGAGGTCGTGGATGAGTCTCCTCTGTCATCCATTTTTTATTTAAAGGAGGAAAGCGGGGACGAAGATGTTGTGGAATAGCAGGGCTCGATGTTAACCATCGCCCGATCTCCTGGGGCAAGTAGTTTATGTTGTCGGGAGAGTACAAATTTCATTGCATTTGCCCAGCGGGCAAGTGCGACGATCGCAAAAAAAATTTATTTATCACTCAAAATTACGTTAAAATCACCGACATTCGATGAAAACGATCCAGAAGCGTTGTCGGCGCCATTTTTGTTTGTTTGTACACATTCTCGCGTGATTTGCAAAAGGCGCGTGATTTTAAAACGCCGGGTGATTTTCCGCTAGATGGCGTGATTTTTGTCCACCTAGCGGTAATTTTGATGTAGTTACCAAAACGACAATGAAGCTAGAAAGCGCTATTGTACCTGTGTTTCTGTATCATTTTATGCGCGTAATCACTCAAAAATCGCCCACATTCGAAGAAAACAACCCAAAAGCGTTGTCTTAAGTTTTTAACCTGTCAAGTTTTTATTTTTATTTCTAACATTACAATTTATATTTTTCCAAGCACACAACAGTTTAAAGCAAAGTTTAGTTTGAAAAGAATGTGCAGGAAGGATTGAAAAGCATGTTAACACGGTAATGTAGGCTTGAGTTCATTATCTGACGCATGCAGATACACACCAGGAACCTGGAAACTTCAAAAAATACTTAAAAAATTAAAAAAACAAACATGTTTCATTGATATATATACAAAAATGAATATTAGGAACTATATTTATCAAACATTATTCTGGGCAAGTAAAAATTGTTTGTGGGCAAATGAACTGTGAAAGTCACTTGCCCAAAGTGCAAGTGGTAAAAATTCTTAACGTCAACCCCTGATTTAGGATCAAGTTTTTAACACTTTTTGGTTAAAAAACAGACATAGAAAAACAATAATACTCAAAAAGGTAAAGTGCTTATTAACATAATTTAGGCAAAATAAATAACTCCTGTCAGATGAATTATTGGAGGAATCATTACAGCTCATGTTGCGTGATCTGTACTAATTGCTTTATATTGTCATAGAAGCAGATTCAGCACATGGTCTTAATTTCTGATACAGGTTATTATGTGGAGTGAAGCTTCACTGATTCCTAATAATCTTCGTTTACCGTTTTTCCAGGAGCTGGAGAAGAGCGTTGATTCAGGCTTTCCCAAACCCCGGTCCAGGAACGCAGCGGTGGACAGAAGACTGAGACGGACACAAGACCGATCGAGAACTCAGCCGGTGACCACAGAGGAAGTGGTCATAGCCGCTACGTGAGTCCTCATGTTTTCCTCCATTTAATACTTCAACTTATCTCAACAGGAAGAAGCCATTAAACTTAAAATCAAAGTTATTCAACATGAGTCGATCAGGTTTTGATTACTACGGAAAAGCAACAAAGTGCTCTAAACGTGTACAGCTTAGCATGATGCAAGTAAGTCCTTATTGTAGTAGGTTACTGAAGTTCACATATCATGTGAAATACTTTGTAATTTAACCTTATTATAATCTGATGTGAGATATATAGAAGTATGAAGCTTTCCTTTGAAAGTCTTCAACAACACAAACAGAAAAACAAATATCTATTGCTTCTTGTTTACAAAATAACTGAAGCTCAAGCAGATCAGACAGAGAGCATCAGTCAGCATCACCTTTTGGAGTCTAGCCTCAGATTTTCAGAAAGTTTAAGGTCTGTACTTTGACTAGACAGTTTTGAACCAGGAAAAAATATTATCCAAAAGTTTTGACATATTTGAGGAAATTGACAGGATGCCAGACTGAGGGGCCATTTTTAATTAAATGAAAGCTAAAAATGTATCCATGCTGTAAAATAAAATAAAAAATTAAGTCTGAAAATAAATTTGTTTATATAAAAGACAATAATGTATTGATTTTTTTTTTCTTTTTGAAAAAAAAAAATCTCTCAAAATATGCAGGTTTTTGTGTTTTTATTACATTCAAGAAAAAAAGCAATCTTAAAGGAGGAAAAGTTAAAAATATATATCAGAGAAAACAAGTTTTCACACTGATGGCTTCTTTGTTATGGAAGAAAAACAGTCTCATTGGAATCTGCCTTTTTTTTAACACCGAATTTTAAAAACATTGAATTGAATTTTATAAACACTGAATTTTTTTAGACATTGAATTCCTTACACTCAATTTTTATCTGGTAAAAATTAATCAAAAAATAATTCCGCTGCAAGAAAAATTCAGCTGCAAAAGTGTTGACCTTTTGGTGAACTTAAGCCAAAGCACTCTACACTCGATAGAGTCGAGCAGCTTCTAGCCAATGAAATTAGCTCATTTGGTCACATGACACAACAGCTGGGCTCAGCGCTGTTCCCGCCTGAATGAGGAATTTTTTTTTTTGTTAAACAGAATTACAACACATCAGTTTGCTACTAACAGATAGCTATCAGAGTTTTTCCTCTTATCAGACTGGGTGAAACAACTGAGCCGATCACAGCTAGTACCCTGTCTGCCAAGGTTCTTGGTTTGATCCGGAAGAAGCGGCCGGCGGCAAACCGGCTGAAATGAAGAAGAAAAAAAGTTTGCCGCCTCTTTAATAAAAATTGTAAGGAATTCAATGTCTAAAAAAATTCAGTGTTTAAAATTTGGTGTTAAAAAAATTCAGTGTTTAAAATTCGGTGTTAAAAAAAATGGCAGATTCCAATGAGACTGTTTTTCTTCCATACTTTGTAGAGTTGCACCGATCCAGCACTAAAATGGTGGTATCTTATCGGCGAGTACCAACAAATAGGGCACTGATATCATTTTAAGAGCCAAAACTTAATTCAACTATTGTCACCCATTCCAGGTAGGCAATAAAAAGTGCTACTGGATTAACTTTGTATTCCTGCTTAACAAAGGAAGGCAGCAGCTTGACAAAGCCATGATGGCAATTATTTTACATCCAGGTAGTATGCAGTTCTTCAGATGGTATGGTATCGGGGCCAAAAAATTGGCCTAACACTACTTCTTTGAGAGAAAATGTTGTGTCGTGGAATAAATAAAAGATAAATAAGATTAGATTAGATGAGCTTTATTGATCTCACAGCGGATAGATTCATTGGTCACATATTGACATAATTAAAGAAGGTGCATACAAGGAGGAAAAAAGGTGCATTAAGAATAAACAATATATATACAGTATATCAAGATAAATAAGGATTAAGGTGCAAGTGTACATGTATCACACACATAAATTAACATTTGGAAAATTAATTTGAAGTAAAAGCAGCTCTCAAAAGTTTTTACTCACAGATATTGTTTGCAATCAGATTCAAAACAATTTCTTTCAAATAATAGATTTTACTGTCATAAGGTTTTTCTTCCCTGTCTCTCAAAGCTTTAAAGAGAGTTTGAGTGTAAAAATCGACTTTTGAGAACTTTTTTCCCTTCAGAAATAATTTTCCAAATGTAATTTTATCTTTTATTTATGATAAATTATAAAAAAAAAAAAAAAAAATCTCTCAAAACGTCTTCTACAGTGTCAAATAACATCAGTTTTTACTATCAGTGTGAAATGATATATTTTTGTTGTAATTTCAAAAATCTTCCCTGCTTCAGATTGCTTTATTCCTTGAATTGAATAAAAAATACCAAAATAACTCCAGAAAAAAGACAGTTATTATCCTATTATTCTTAAGTTTTCCAACTTTTAATTTCGGAATAAAATTTCTTTCAAGTTTCTATTTATAAAACCTGTTCTGTTTGCAACAACAGGACAAAATTCACTCCCTATGAGTGTAACGATAAAGAGGCTTATATGTAAACCATGCATCATGTTCAGCTTGTCGTTCATAACATAACACAATGTCAAAAGTTTTATAAATACCTTGAGGCACTTTATTTGAGCACATTTAATGAATAAACATCTCACCTTCTGTATTCTCTCTGCCACCGACCTTCACTACTATAGTGCCCCCTCCTATGTGCCACACATGACTGATCAGTCTGCTGTTAGCCACTCCCTAGTTTGCAGCAATGCCCTCCCCTCTTACAGGTACACAAATGTGTGTGCATGAGCATGAAAATACCAAGACTGGAATGCATTCTGGTTGAGCTTTTCATGCCCTCCTTCAGGAAGTTTCTCTGTCGCGATTGGTGGCCACTGCTCCTTAAAGGCATCGCTGCCCTGTGGGGTACCACAGGGATCTATTCTCGGCTCGATTTAGTTTTCTTTATATAGGCTACCTCTGGGATCAATTATAAAAAAACACAACCTGTCTTTACACTTATATGCCGACGATTTGCAGATATATTTGCCCTTGAAACCAAACGAAAACACTGCATTCACTAAGCTACTGGACTGCATCAGAGATATAAAGCAGTGGCTGTCGCAGAACTTTTTGCACTTAAACGACAGCAAAACTGAATGCATTTTGTTTAGTTCTCCATCTATTTCAAATGTTCTCACCACAAACTCTACCAATCTGACCCCCCTTTTTAAATCTCATGTCAAAAATCTCGGGGTATCATTTGATAATGCGCTCAAATTTTACAAACTCCATTTGTTAGCTCAACCTTTTTCCAGCTCCGTCTTTTGACCAAAGTCAAGTCCTTTCTCAGTCGGCAGGATCTTGAGAAGGCTGGACTACTGCAATGCCCTTTACATTGGCCTCAGTCACTCATCAATTTCTCGTCTCCAACTTGTGCAGAACACTGCCGCTCGATTTTTGACAAGCACGTCTAGACGTAAACACATTACTCCGGTGCTGTCGTCACTCCACTGGCTTCCAGTCTGTTTTAGAATTGATTTTTAAACTTCTGCTGTTTGTTTTTAACGCCATTCATGGCTTGGCCCCCTCTTACTTGTCTGAGATTTTAACTTTTCGCAATTGTGGCTGAGCTTTGGGCTCCTCGGGTCAGCTTCTGCTAGAGGTCCCTAGGTCAAGACTCAAGCAGTGGGGCGATCGTTCTTTTGCCGTCGCTGCTCCCAGACTGTGGAACAAACTACCCCCTGACATCAGCACCACTACTGACTAGGGGTGGAACGGTTCACAAAATCCACGGTTCGGTTCGGTTCATGGTTCGTGGTCACGGTTTTCGGTTCGGTATATGTTTATTGTTAGGAAAATGTATTATGTCTTGTACAACACGTGTTGCACAATGCTATCTATCTATCAAATCTATCTATCAATCTATCTAGCTATTTAAATATACTTCTATATATCTCTATATATAGATATATATTTAGAGATATATAGATATATATACAAACTTCAGTCATTGAACTGTGCTTACAGCTCCTTATTTCATGTAAACTAATAACTTGTGTACATGATACTTGTTCATGGCATTAAAATGATTTCTATTATCATTAAATTAGAGTTCCTCATTCCTGTATAAACCCTGTGAACGTTTAATTTAATATGACATATTAAAAAAAATCCCCATCATCATCCAGCAGATGTTCAGTTTCTGCCCAAATATTTTCTTTCTGTGGATTTTTGTAACAGGGATAACTAGGATCAAACATAGTTTGTATGAACTCTGTTTGATCTCTGTTTCCAAACTCATCATCTCTTCATCCATTCCTGCAATAAGAATTTTCTTTTAAAGTTATGAGATGTGCTCTAGAATCTCACAACCTCTTCCTGGTCTGTTGAAGCACCAATAGTCTGCATCCAATTATTTAATTAATTGCTCCTAGTTTTTTGGATATATACGAATTATGCTCTAATTTGTAGTTACCGATCTGTTTTTACTATAATTTAATTTGACAAACCGGGTCTTCTCTACATTCTTTTTCCTGTTTGGTGCGATTGCAATTGCGGGTCTTGATCTGGACGGACCGGAGGGGAGCAAAAAAGAGCTCAGTTCCATATTTTGACTGTGAAGGACGGAGAAGACGTACGTGGGCGGTGACGAGCGGAGGATGTGGAACAGCTCTCATTGATTTACATGACAGACAGGTACTCCGCAAGACGTACCTGAGCAGAGCGGAGCGCTGACGGAGTATGTGGAATCCGGGGGTAAAGAAAGACAAATTCACGTCCGGCTGGATGTGGCGACGGACGCCGGACAGTGCAATGAAAATCCGGACTGTCCGCCCTAAAGCTGGACATCTGGCCACCCTACTTCCAACTCCTGTTCTTTCCCACTCGCCATACCCACACAATTCTCCACAACAACTGATTTTTTTCTGCTACACCCGGCTACGCTGCTTGGCTTCTTCTTCTTCTTGTTTACTACTGGTGGTTGGCTTTGGTCGCAGTACCGCCACCTTCTGCTCTGGAGTGTAAACTATTCGCCTATGAGAAAAAGGAGCAGCTCATGAACCGAACGCAACACACGCGAACCGAACGGTTCGGACGGTTTTCATTAACCGTTCCATCCCTACTACTGACCTCAGCCTTTTTTTTTTTTTTTTTTTTTAAAGCTTAAAACCCACTTTTTTAAATAAGCATTTAATTCTGACTAGGATAATCCCGTCTCCTAGATGTCCTCTTTCTGTGTGCTCCTTTCTATGCACCTCTGGAAGGCTTTTAATGTCCTGCAGCGCTGCACCACTACAGCACTTTTAGTTGTATCTGTATGTTTTGTATTGTTTTGTATGGCTTTGTTGTAAAGCACTTTGGGTACCATTTGGCTATTGTAAAGGGCTATACAAATAAATTGGATTGATTGATTCATTATCAGGGATAATTTACACGATTACACGATTAAAGAAAAGGTTGCACTTTATCTGGTCATGCATGGAAAACTTGTCCTTATCCTTAAAAAAACCTGAGGTTGCATTATTTTATCAAACAGCTGCATGTGCCTCTTAACGTTCACGGCTTACCATAAGTGTGCCTTTTCTCCCATGGCGTCCTTCCCCTCAGCCTCCAGGCATCCCTGCAGCAGAGCTCCGCCGCCCGCCAGCCGGCGCAGGGTTCTCTGGAGGCCCGGGGCTCTAAGCAGACACCGACGGAGGCCAAAGTGGAGATGCAGAATCAGGCCCACGAGGAGCCTGATGTTTGCACCCTCAGCCTGGCAGAAAAGATGGCGCTGTTCAATCGACTGGCGCAGCCACCCAGCAGGGTCACCCGCATCCGAGGCGACACCCGTCAGCGCAGATCCAACGCTCGCTACCAGACCCAGCCCATCACCCTGGGCGATATGGAGCAGGTGGGGGGAATCTCTAATTCTTCTAACTAAACATATTTAAGCTGTTTTCACCCAAATCTCTCCCTGCTTTATTTTAGTTCTTTTTTTCCCAACAAGCCTAAAATAAACTTCCCGTCTCCATATTTATACTTTAGTCACCTAAACTGTAGAAAAATGTAACTGTCAGATATCACACAAGATGGACGCTTTAAGAGCTCTTTAAATTAACTTTTAATAATCCCTGGTACATTATTTTAAGATGAAGATTTTTTAATCTGTTAGAAATTAACAACGAATCTGACAAACAATGAAATAACAGTATATAGTGCAAATGTGTACCGCTGTTTAACCTTATTTCATCTGCTGATTAAGTTGAATGAAAGGAGACGATAAACTATGGCAACCACTGGATGCTTCTCTATTAAATTGTATGATACTGCAGCTCTTAGATGCCACCCTTACTTAAAACAAAGTCTAACCTTTTTTTAATTTTCTTTTTTGCTTAATATGCATTATTTGCACACAGCAGTATTTCTAAAACACGTTCTTAGAGCAGTCGATGCTTACATTTAGATATGTTAACATATCTAGATGTAACATAAATTATAAAGTAAATATTCCTGTTTTTCGCTCATGAAATCTGCAGCTTTTTAGTTTTTACAGCATTTCTGTTCCATACTATGGAGGACCAATTCTGCCATATTTAAAAATAAATACAGAAATAAATAAATGCTCAAATAATAAATAAGCATACAATTAATTGCCACCAAAAATACAATAAAAAATAAATGCAAGTAGAAATTAAATTATACAGTGAGAGATAAATGTATATACCTCTTTTAATTAGCTTCTTTATTTATGTCCCTTGTAATATTTACCTTATACATTTTTTTACAACTGGAAGTAGTTTCCTGGAGGACCGTGGAACTTGCAGCAGCGCTGAGAGTGGGCTTAAGGAAAACCTGTTGATTGCATCGATTCATTGACACTTCAGCAATCCCTCACACCAAGCATGCTTGTAGCGACAGTGGAGAGGAAAACACCCTTTTAACAGGAAGAAACCTCCAGCAGAACCAGGCTCAGTGTGAGCAGAGGCCGACTGGGGTTCAAGGATTTTAACCCTTCCACTGGTTACGCTAAAAGTAGTCAAAAATAAATTAATTATAATGAGCTTTACAGCCATGGAAACTGTATTTTAAATACATTTATCTCCTTTTTTCAAAATAAACATGAAAAAAATCCTGATTTTATGTGAACCCCACTGGCTTTACACCTACAGCCACCCTAAGTGGGCGGTAGAACACATGAACTGCCAGCAGACAGAGATTTTAAATGGATGTCTGCCAATAGGACTAGATCTCCGTTGTGTTCATTTTCAATCATCTCTTCGTCCATGCTACTATGCTAACGCCACCGCCACCAAGCTGCAATGATTTGCCGCCAATGAATACCGCCGAATCTGTCGATTCATCTTGTAGTGGTGCGTCAAATGCAACGTAGATTCCCATCCAATCAGACTGAATTTGGTATTGATGACGTGAAAAATAACGGTAACTCCATTGAAATGTTTCAAAACTAAAGTAACGAGCCAATTTTTTAAAATGTAAGGAGTAGAAAGTACAGATATTTGTGTAAAAATGTAAGGAGTAGAAGTAAAAAGTCGCCATAAAAATAAGTAGTAAAGTAAAAATATCAGAAAAATCTACTTGAGTACAGTAACGAAGTATTTGTACGTTACTTCCCATCTCTGAGCCTGGCAGACCGAGCCAGGAAGGGTCAGAGTATCCAAGTTATGAAGCCAAACTGGCCAATGGTCAAAGTGTTTTGATTTTCTAGCCAATAAAGTGCAACAATAAGAGCAATCACTGGGTCAGTCTGATAGTTTGCATAATAAGGAGAGATAAAAAGGTTTAAAAGAAATAAGAGACGGCTTAATTAGCAGAGAGACAAACATTAAAGAAGATATGGGTGCAGCAAAATTAGATTAGATTTAGATTAGATTCTAATTCATTGTCATTACACATGTACTGGTTAGGGGTGTAAATCACATCCATCATGGCGATTCGATTCAGTATCGATTTCCTGACCCAACAATTCGATTATTTTCGATACTCAAGGATACACCACGATTCGATTTGATTAATCGATTAATTTTTTATTTATACATTTTTTTACACCTTACAGGCTAAACAAAGTTTCAAGTTTGAAATAAATCAATGAAAGCTGTAATACTGTTATGCATTTTTTTGTTTGTTTTTAGAAACAACAGCAAATAACAGAAGTAGAAAAGTTGCATCAAAAAATACTGCAGAAAATCAGTGCAATGAGTACAATGCAATACCTCGGCACCAGACTCCGCCCCCTCCACAGACGCTCCGCTGCACCTCTTCCAAATTGTAGCTGACTGCAGACAGTGCAGCAGACAGGAGGCCGGCTTGTTTAGTTTTTATGATCGAAATTGCGGAAAACAACTCGTGAAGTTTGACCCGCTAGAAGAGCGAGGTGCGCGAGAACGCTGGGACCCTTTTCCACCTGGATCTCCGCTCTCTTTGGCCCTCATGTCCCTCCGTCGTCGGACTAAACTCGCCCCCACTTCCTCGCCGCCTCGGCCGTATCTAGACCAACAGCGTGTAGCTCAGACCACGCTTCAATACTGAGCATAATTTAAAAATGTCTGCATCAAGCTCACTGCAACACACTGCTGTAAGAGTATGACCAGGAAGCGAGGTAGGAGGGCAAAATAGGTTTAGCGCCACCGCAGCACGGGAGGGAGAATTACGCCCAGGAGCAAATGGATAAAAATAGACCGGAGGAAAAAAAAAATATAATTCGATTCTCTTGCGGACGTGTCGATGCATCGGATCGTCGGCTGTTGGATCGATGCATCGATACTAGGGCTGCAACTAACGATTATTTTAAAATTCGATGAATCGGCCGATTATTTTTTCGATTAATCGATGAATCGGACAAAAAATATTTTTTTATACTAACCTCTTTATTCCAAAATAAACATTTTAGACAGAACAAGCAAGCACACAAGTACAGGTTGCTCATTAACTGTCCTGGTGCAATATGAAAAATAAATGTTTGTGTTAAAACTACGCAAACTTACATGAGAAATGTAGCTGTACATCCACAATATATCGGGTACTTTGTTTCATAAAGCGCAAAAAAAGGAAAAGCGCAAAAAAAGACAGATATTTACATGGGAATGTGGCAGATAATTAATTGACATATTACTGATCTTGCTGGATTTTATTCTGCTTTACTTCCATAAATCGCAGGATCTTCTTTACTTTATCTTTGCCAGAAGATTTAAACTTTAAAAGCCTTGCCCTCATAATTTGCAAGTTAATTTGTTTATAAAGAAAATGTAAACGCTGCTTAAGCTAATTCAAATGAAATTAAAAGTAAAATAAGTAGCCAACCTTATCACTGTCTGTAACCTACTAACACGGTAAGGAAAGCATCAGATGAGCTACCTGAGAAACTAACGTTACGTTTCCCCACTTTAAAACCAAACAAACATGGCCGCTCACCCTGCTGATCAGCTCTCTTCACTGCCATCGAAGGCTCCAACGTGTTTCCTTTTCAGGTTCTGCATCATCAACAGTGGTGCTTCCGTGCCATGTTAATTTGTTTTGACAAAAGTTGCATGTTACGACTTTTTTCACTGTACAAAGCGCAGGCTATTTTAATTGTTGTGATCAATTTGCGCCGTCAATCCCGGTCCATGCGCGCTTCATTTGCAGTGTGGACGCTGAGGATAAAGATCCTGCTGCTCTGACTGCAGCGCTGAGAGGGACTCCTGCGGGAGAACGGGGTTGGGATGGGGGAGGCGCCCCACGGCAGAGTAGGAACGATACATGCTTTCACGTAAGAGTCTCCAATAGCCGCCAGTGACACCGTAAAAAGTTGCCAGATTTGACGCTAGTCGCTTTTTTGGAAAATAGTCGCTGGAGGGGTCTGAAAAGTCGCTGAGTTGGTAACACTGCGCCCTGCAGCGCTGGCTCTCTCTGCCGTATTTTTTTTTTCTTCCCCCGTTTCAGTCAAGTGGATGTGATGACTGCGGCGGCGGATGACGCATTAATCGCGGGACACAACTAATCGATGATGAAATTCGTTGCCAACGCTTTTAAAAGTCGATTTTTATCGATTTTATCGATTCGTTGTTGCAGCCCTAATCGATACAAAACGATTATTATTTACACCCCTAGTACAAGTACAAGGCAACAAAATGCAGTTTAGGTGAAACCAGAAGTAAAATAGCAGCAGGAGCAGAATAAATAATGGTTCCATAAATACAGGACATGGGTTTTTCTACTGAATGAGTATAGAGATGAATACTATTATAAATAATAAGTATAATATATAGATCACTAGTTTTATGAACTAAATTTACAGCTGGATATGTACCGAATATAATATATGGATGGGTTTTACTATAAAATGAATAAAGTTTGGCAAAGAAATTTTTTGTCATCATATAAATTTGTTTTATCAAACATCGTTATTCATCATAAATTTCTGGTTTCAGGTGATGACGACAAACTCTATTTGGACAGGAAACGAATCGAACAAATGTTGTAGTATATATGTGCGTGTTTTTTCACTCCAGGAGTTCTCAGATACAGACATCAGGGATGATGATGATGATGATGATTATGAGGAGGAGGAGGTGGAGCTGTGTGACAGCCCATTGGAACATCTCCAAGTAAGATTCCCCCTGAGCAGTGGTTGCATTGGCATCAGAGGATGACACGTCGTCTTCTCAGAAATGAGCCCGCCTTTCACCGCATCCCTGGGCCGTGATGGTGTGACTGCATTGGGAATGTTGGGTGCATGACCCGGCTTCTGATAAAGTCCTGTCTCAGTGCTCGTCATCGCCCACCTTACCGTGCATGGATGATGTATGAAATAAAAGCCAGGGGGAGTTTAAAGGCTCCTTCATGGTGGAGAGAGGAGCTGGAAAGTTTAGCTGGCAGCAGCTTTAGGGAGGAAAGAGAAAAACAAAACAAGGTTTAAAGTCCAGATCTGCATCATTGTTTTAGATTTTCACCCTTTCCATGGATGTCTGCTGCTGCCTCTCAGTGGCTGCTCAGCAGAAACGTCAGGTTTGTGCCATGAATGTGGTGTTTTGCAGGAGTTTAATGCAACGTTCGAGGGGATGAATGGCTTGTAATGTGCAGGATGCTCAGGAAGGGCAGTGAATCAGTCCGGATGTGATTAGTCAGCGTGAATCTTCCGGCTGCCTGTGTGTGCTCTCTGCTCCCATCTCTCTCTCAGCTATTTTAGCAAACTGACCCACATTTTCTCCTTTCATCTTCCTCTCCTTCCTGGTTAAACAGCTTCAGAACGGTTCCGGAACGCCGTACGGACACACTTCATCCTCCTCTGTACTCAGAGCAGGAGCCGCCGTCTCCTCTGACCATGCCGGAGACATCCTCATAGCGAGCGCAGCTGTCCGACCTGAGCCCACCCCCCGCCACCCTGACCCCTCGGAACACCAGACTAACCAAAAATTGGACCAGGAGGAAGACCAGACGGACCTAAAAGCGGGGAAGCGGAGGTTGCCTTCCCCTGAAACTGCGGTCAGGCAGGCTGCTCTGCCTCAGCCCCGTTCTGGGAGGGAGAGACGGTGGGAGGAGGAAGAGAAGGAGGAGGAGGAGCAACGCTGGCTTTCCAGGGGTGGGGATGATACAGCTGTTCAGAGCCAGAAGTTCTGTGAGACGGAGGAGCAGAGGAGGAATCACAGGGAGGAGGGACGACCGTCGGACAGGATCAGAACCATCAGTGGAGGTAAGACCTGCAAAGAACCAGCGTCCCCAGACTCTGCATGGTTCTGTAGCCTTATGACCTCTGAATGCAGAGAATTTCAAAGTTATATGAAGAAAACAGCAGGTCACACCTGGAACCTACCTGGAATAAATGTTACATTTTACAATTTGGTTTCTTTTGTACCAGTTTCCTTTTTTCTGTGCAAAAAAAAAAAAAAAATTGGCCTTAAAGATAAAATGTAGAAATGTGTTAAAAACATTTAAACTCAGCTGGATTAAGGTGGCAAACATGGAGCAAAATATACCTACTGAATAAATGAATACTGCTAGAATAATAAGACAAATATAAACATGTTTTGATTCTAACTGGCTCTGCTGGGAAGTTTAAACACAAATTCTGTGTAAAACTGTTTTCTTGGTTTTATTTTACATTTTCAGTATCTTAGGTGTTATATTTACTGTATAACAGATATGCAGTTATTTCTGTTCATCTTTAGTCCTAAGGGATAAGAATTTACTGAATTTGAAACCATTGTTTAGCTCCTATCTACGGAAGAGGATTAGGGCCACTGAACAACAAAAAAAAATTTACTGATTTTTAAATTTTATTTCAGTTTAATATGGGAAACAAAGTCAGAATTCTGACTTTTTTCTCAGAATTCTGACTTTTTTCCCCACACTAAAGTGAAATAAACTTTAAAAATCAGTTAACTTTTTTTTCCGACTGGCCCTAATCCTCTTCCGTACCTATCAGAGTAAAATACTCACGGCCAAAAGATTTCCACAGGTTAGACATTAGCTGAAGAAAAGTTGTTCCCTCCTGCATATTAGCTGCTAAAAGAGACACTTTAGGATGGAATATAAGCGCTCTATCTCCCATCACCCATCCCTGATTAAAGAAAGGTGGTGCTTGTTTACAGTGCTGGGACAGTGCAGTTAAGGAAGGTGCTTCCTGGAGGGAGCCTTCTTAAGTAGATATTCCCTAATCTCTCATTTTTACAGGATGGGAGGGGCGGCTGCTCAGAGAGCTGAACTTATGAAGTTTACTTAGAGATGCAGGAATCAAGAAAAATACATCTTGATGAATGTGTTATATTGTAGATAATAGCTAAAAAAAAAAAAGATTTTGCATGATGCAGGCTCTTTAAAGGTGCACTGCCATGTTTTATACCTATACAAAAATAGACCAAAAACCAAAAAGATTATACAGATCAAGCGTCCATCCTGATGTGTTTAGTGGTCATTTTTTTAGCCTAAATAGATTTCTAGCTATGGACATAAGCAGATTTAAACAGACAGAGTGCCCCCTGCTGGCAGTACAACAGAACTATCAGAAAGCCAGATGGTAGCATATGAGGTAGCTACTAAAAGGAGCCCAGCTGTTCTGAAATACCTCGCTGTAAACAGACAGCTTTGCATGGTTGGAAAGCAACCAAAAATAAATGAAGCTAATCTATAGCAACAATAAGTTCTAGTCAGTCCTCCCCAGATGCTCCTTTAGGAGCAGGTATCAATCATTTCATTTCTAATACAGTTGGTTTTAAGACTGTAGAAACCAAGAATAGCACTGCTGTCACTACCGTCACTATTAAAATATCCCAATATCTTCATATGCTGATATATTGCCATTTAAAAACACCATATCAATCTCTTTTACTAATGAAATATTGCTATATGTCATCGTTATGCTACGAAATCCCCCGAAAATTCACAAAATTTTGCCATATTTTTATATGTTGATATATTGACGCGGTATCGATCTATTTTACTAACAAAATCTCACAAAAATTTGCTAAATATCACGAGAGTTTGTAACAGAACGATGAAATTTCACGAGATTTTGAAAGTAAAATAGATCGATACCGCGTTTTTAAAAATCTATTTGATATCAGCATATGAAAATATATTTGAGTATATTATTTTTCAAAGTGTCAGAAATGGATAACAAAACTGCTATTTTCAATGACTACTTATTTTTGTCCAGCTTTAACATCGGTATCGATATCAGTTATCGGCTACATGAGTTTTAAAATATCGGCATATCGGATATCGGCCAAAATCCCAATATCGTGCATCCCTAAATGTCAACTAACTTAGTAATGGATTAATTAGTTAATTGGAGTGTAGAAACTCTGGAACATCCCTTTAGGTGACAGAGTTGTTCACTTAGCGCAGTAATTTTTCGAAGAGGGTAAATGTTCATATAAATATTTTGCCTTTAGGATAAAAAAAAAACAAAAACAAAAAAAAAACTTTTTCATCTGTCATGCTGGATCCAGAACTCAAGTGGAAAATATTTAAGTTGACCTGGGTTGATTCTATTAAAAAAATCGTCTTTAAGAAGCCTTTAGCTATCCAATTATTCATCAATTAATCTTAAAAATAATCAACAGATTAATCGATTAGCAAAATAACCGTTAATCGCAGCTCTACACTTTTCCATTTTTATCCCTCTTGAAATCAAATATTTTCTTTTTTCCTATTCATCCTGGACCTTGGACTTTTCTTTATTATTTCCTCTCTTCACTGGGAAGGTGCTAACTCTGCTTGTTCCTCTCTTATTGTAAACCTAGACGAGGTGTCTTGTTTACCAAGAAAATGAACAAAAGCAAAGTGTAAAACACAAAAAAGGAAACGATTCACCAGCATGACGTGGCGATCTTTCAGAAAAACTTAAAAATTAACTATAAAAATTGCCTAATAATGTGACTATTAATCAAAGTTTACTATATAGCACTTTTGAGCAATTCCTGTGATGCATAAAGTGTTTTACCAGCTAATAAACAAATAAAAAGATTCACGAACAAAATAGATAAAATATAAAACGGTAAAGGAAAATAACAGGATAAGAGATAAAAAACTAAAAAGAACATAATGGCACAATTCAAAAAAAGTTTTTAAGAGCTATATACAAATAAAGGCTAAATACAGAGACTGCACCTTTAAAAAAGAATACAATAGAATAGAAAATCCCTTAATTGTCGTACAATAAAACAATAAAACACCAATTCTGGTGTTTATTGTAGAAAAAAGATTTTAAACTTTATAAATGTCTTAACTAAATTCTGGACCCTTTGTATCATACTGGCTTGATTTTAATTAAAATTTTAAATTGTTTTAAATGTAAAATCTTTGTTGGTTTCTCCATGAGGAGAAATGCATGATTGTGATGAAGCTGATGTGTCTGCAGGAGTTCAGCAGACGGAGCCTTTAGATGGCAGCTTTTAACACCCTTTGCACCACGACGTGGAGATTTAGCAAAATAAAGTTTTCCTCCAGTTGGAGCTTCTGTTCACATTGTGGAGAGGAAAGATTATAAGCTTTGTTTGTGGTGTTTACATAATCTCTAAAACACTGTATGTGTTAGAAACCACGTTTCCGTCTGGGGTCCATAACCAGGCTACTCAGTAGTTGTGAAACTGCTGTTATGATGAAAGTTTGACTTTCATTTTATCAAACTCTTAAGAAAAACAAAATCTCAAACAATACAGAGAGCCTTAAGTAGATGTATAAAGCCTTTTTTTTTGTTAACAGGCCAAAGTGAGACAAATCAAATGCTGCTAAGCAGTCATTTTCCAGTCAAAATTCTCATAATGTTTTGAGAAAATGTAACATTTAGACGGTGGTTTTTAGCCTTAGCAGCTGTCGCTGTCAGCCAGACTCTTGGTGTCTCTCAGGGTCTTCATGCAGGAAGTCAGATAAACAGCCTGTCAGGCCTGGAAGTTGTACTTAAAGGGGAAAAACTCCGGGTTTCTACAATGTGGGATATTTGATTACAGCTTTGGCAGAAACATGAAACGTAATGAGCGTCTTTGCTTCTTTAGACCGCCAGATTGGAGCCATTTGGTAGGAAAGAAAGAAAATAAAACCCATCAGCTCCTTTAACTATTCATTCATCTGTATGATAGCGACCGCTATCCAAAGGTCTCTAGTTTCTGCTATGGTGTACTTTTTCAGACATCCTTAGCTCTCAGAAAAAAAAAAAAAAAAACTGTTTCAGTTCTCGAGAAATTTTTCCAGATTTGGTGAAATCTTTACCAACCGAGCAAATATGAAACAACAGCTGTTTTTTGCCTTCTAATGTCTCCCACTTTTTCTGGATTGAAAGGATTGACCCGACATGAATTGTAGGAAATGGAAGCCCCAATTGATACCCAGGACCAAAGCCAGTCCGTCGCCTACAGCCAACGATGTTGGATATCAGTGGCAAACATTATGAAAAACTAAAACATCTATGACCCAAAACAGATTTTTAAGATATTTTAAGGTCATAATCAGTGTTGGGCACGTTACTTTGAAAATGTAATTAGTTATAGTTACTAGTTACTTCTCCCAAAAAGTTACTGAGTTAGTAATTGAGTTACTCCACAATAAAAGTAACTACTTAGTAGTAAAAGTAACTATTGAGTTACTTTTGCGAGTGTATGAAATTAATAACTGGGGATGTCTAATTCTGAAATCCTGTGTTTGGGTTGTTATAGATAAAGCAACATGTAGCTATATCTATCTATCTATTCTATCCATCCATCCATATTTCTCCCTTTCTCCGTAGTTCCCCTGTGGCGCGAGCACAGGGCGGCTGTTACACGCCTTTAGCGAGCATGGGCGTTTCCTGTCGTTTGCGCAATGAATCGTGCCGCCGCGCTGTCTGGAGATGCAGGGTAAACCGTATCTGATGGGGAAACGCAGCTCGACGTAACACCGGTATTTCCATCTGGAAAGCGCTGTTTTGCTGCTGGAGTCCTCCTCACTCTCCATCCTATCATGAAAAAAGGTTAATTGTGCGACCTGAGTAACGTGCAGTAACGGGGTGTCTGCAATTGTAACTGCGTTATAGTTACAGTAACAGTAATCATTTTTGATTACTCGTTACTAAAAAAGGTAGCGGCGTTAGTAACGCCATTACTTTCAACGCCATTACTCCCATCACTGGTCATAATGCAACTCTAACTGAAATAGCTGGTGAGACGGCTGGCTAGGCTTAGTGCAAACAGGAGGCCTGGGTTTGTACCCCAGCTGGGGGGAATGAGCTGCCAGAGTGGGTCCTTAGGCAAAACCCTTCACGCTAATGCCTACCGTAATTTTCGGACTATACAGGTGCTGGTCATAAAATTAGAATATCATGAAAAAGTAGATTGATTTCAGTAATTCCATTTAAAAAGTGAAACTTGTATATTATATTCATACATTACATACAAACTCATATATTTCAGATGTTTATTTTGTTTAATTTTGATGATTACAAATGACAACAAATGAAAATCTCAAATTCATCATATCAGAAAATTAGAATATTGTGAAAAGGTTCAAAATTGATGGCCCCTGGTGCCACACTCTAATCAGCTAATTAACTCAAACCACCTGCAAAAGCCTTTAAATGGTCTTTCAGTCTAGTTCTATAGGCTACACAATCATGGGGAAGACTGCTGACTTGACAGTTGTCCAAAAGACGACCATCGACACCTTGCACAAGGAGGGCAAGACACAAAAGGTCATCGCTAAAGAGGCTGGCTGTTCACAGAGCTCAGTGTCCAAGCACATTAATAGAGAGGCGAAGAGAAGGAAAAGATGTGGTCGAAAAAAGTGTACAAGCAAGAGAGATAACCGCACCCTGGAGAGGATTGTGAAACAAAACCCCTTCAAAAATGTGGGGGAGATTCACAAAGAGTGGACTGCAGCTTAGACTTAGACTTAGACTTAGACTTAGACTTCTTTATTTGTCATTTTGTATGCACAGGGTGCATACAGAACGAAATTGCGTTACATACAGCTTATGAACGTTGCATTGATATTTCACAATGGCACGAGTTATAGAAAAATACAAAAAGTGCAGCAGTGGTCAAAGTGTGAACAGTGCAGAGGATAAGAGACAGTGTGCAAGTTGCAGTGGTTCAGTGCAAAATGGCATTTGTGCAAAAAATGCGTTATTGAAAAATACAATGAGATGAACAATTTAAAGGGCTAAAAGTTAAAAGTTCAGCAGCATTTGATGCCCGATAATGTGCAATAGGTGCAGAGTTCGGATTGTGGATCAAAGGTTCAACAGTCTGATGGCAGTGGGGAAGAAGCTGTTGCACAACCTGGTGGATCTGCAGCGGATGCTGCGGAACCTCTTTCCAGAGGGCAGCAGGGAGAACAGTCCATGGTGGGGGTGTGAGGGGTCTTTGATGATATTACGGGCTCGGGACACACAGCGCTGTGATGAAATGTCCTTAATGGAGGGAAGAGGAGCCCCAATGATTCCTTCCGCTGTCCTCACCACCCTCCTCACATTCTTCCAGTCAGAAGCTCTGCAGCCTCCACACCACAGAGAGAGACAGCTGGTCAGAACGCTCTCTATGGTGCTTCTGTAGAAGGTTGTGAGGATGGGCGGGGGCAGGCGGGCTCTCCTCATCCTCCGCAGAAAGTACAAGCGCTTCTGTGCCCTCTTCACTAGAGATGAAGTGTTTACAGTCCAGGTGAGGTTGTCCGTGATGTGCACCCCCAGCTGGAGTGAGTGCTTCAAGAACCACCACACACAGACGTATGAAAGACATGGGTTTCTGCTGTCGCATTCCTTGTGTCAAGCCACTCTTGAACCACAGACAGCGTCAGAAGCGTCTTGCCTGGGCTAAAGAGAAACAGGACTGGACTGCTGGTGAGTGGTCTAAAGTCATGTTCTCTGATGAAAGTAAATTTTGCATTTCCTTTGGAAATCAAGGTCCCAGAGTCTGGAGGAAAAGAAGAGAGGCACTTCATCCACGTTGCTTGAAGTCCAGTGTAAAGTTTCCACAGTCAGTGATGGTTTGGGGTGCCATGTCATCTGCTGGTGTTGGTCCATTGTGTTTTCTGAGGTCCAGGGTCAACGCAGCCACATACCAGGAAGTTTTAGAGCACTTCATGCTTCCTGCAGCTGACCAACTTTTTGGAGATGCAGATTTCATTTTCCAACAGGACTTGGCACCTGCACACAGTGCCAAAGCTACCAGTACCTGGTTGAAGGACCATGGTATCCCTGTTCTTAATTGGCCAGCAAACTCTCCTGACCTTAACCCCATAGAAAATCTATGGGGTATTGTGAAGAAGAAGATGCAATACACCAGACCCAACAATTCAGAAGAGCTAAAAGCCACTATTAGAGCAACCTGGGCTATCATAACACCTGAGCAGTGCCACAGACTGATCGACTCCATGCCACGCCGCATTGCTGCAGTAATACAGGCCAAAGGAGGCCCAACTAAATACTGAGTGCTGTACATGCTCATACTTTTCATGTTCATACTTTTCAGTTGGCCAACATTTCTATAAATCCTTTGTTTTTATTGGTCTTCAGTAATATTCTAATTTTCTGATATGATGAATTTGAGATTTTCATTTGTTGTCATTTGTAATCATCAAAATTAAACAAAATAAACATCTGAAATATATGAGTTTGTATGTAATGTATGAATATAATATACAAGTTTCACTTTTTAAATGGAATTACTGAAATCAATCTACTTTTTCATGATATTCTAATTTTATGACCAGCACCTGTAAGCCGCGACTTTTTCCCCATTTTCCGACCTTGCAGCTTATACAACAATGCGGCTTATCTGTGGACTTTTAAAGCTAACGGCCACTAGGGTAATACCTGAATCTATGGATTTTACCATCCACCATGATGACGTCACATTTGCTTCAACACACAAGTACGGTAGCCGCGCGCACGGGAATGCGGAGGTCTTCCGGAAGCAGACTTCTACCGCGAATGGTACGAGACAGAACGACAGCGAGAAAGACGGACATTGCGAGCGCAAGACAGTTTGGGTGTAAACATAAAAAACCTGCGGCTTATAGTCCGTTGCGGCTTGTATATTTACAAATCATGCAGTTTAGCTTATATTCAGGTGCGGCTTATAGTTTGAAAATTACGGTACTTTAAGGAATGCCGGACTAGTGGTAAGGGCCATTCTTAGTTCAAGCCCCCACTGTCACTCTGGCTCTCTGAGCAAAGACCCTTAACCCCACATTGCTCCCCGGGCGCCGCACAATGGCAGCCCACTGCTCCCCAAGGGAATGGGTTAAAAGCAGAGAGTTCATTTCATTGCTTTGTACTTGTGATAGTGTAATGACAATAAAAAAAAAAAACACTAAAAAAAAACTGATTTGTTCAGAATTTCAATTAATTTGAAACATTTGTTGACCTCATAAGACCTCAGAACTAATTATGTTTTTATTTATCATTAAACCTGACACCTTTGTTTCCACAATAAGACCAAATGTTTGATGATCTTGGTGGTGTTTTATCATGCATGCATCAATAAGTCATTGATCTCCCTTCCTCTGCCTTGTCTGGTTACAGAGCTCCCTGATTCCACTGTGGTAACATCCAGAGACCCGTTGGGATCAACCTTAGATGACGGTCGGCCTCCTGCGGGGGGAGAGTCGGTCTGCCTGGTTCAGCCTGATCCAGAGGAAAACATGGGTGAGGTGACGATTGGACGCCACATGTCCATCAGAGAGAGGTAAAGTGGTCACAGTTGATGTTTTATCTACCCAGCCTGATTCTCTAGATTATTTTAGCTACTTTGGATAAATTAACATATTAGTCACTCATTATTCTTGCTTTAGGCTTCATTAAGTTTGGCACAGAATTGAATTCAAAGGCTAATATTTATATAAGTGGAGTTATGTCACATTGAGGCTGTTGTTTAGAGGATAAGCAAAGACAATCAGGCTCTAAATTGATTGGTGACATAACAGAATTACGTGCTACCATTGGTTGAAAGTAGCCCTCTGTCCATTGTTACACATTTCACTCTCTCTTTGACCACTTCATTACCTCGTAGGCCGCCCCCTTTTCCAAATCATTTAGCTGAAGGCAGTGGCAGAGTCCGTGCTATTTAAGTCCTGATGTAGCATTGATTAGGGGGGTCAGGGACAGAACAGGATGTGTTCTTATTCTGTAACAGAGGGCTGGTTGTGAGGCGGATGCTTTACGTCTCTCAGTATTAAAAAAAATCCAAATAAAACTGCCTCTGTTGGCTTTTTCTTTAGCACGAGTCAGCATTACGTTCTCTGGGTCAAATAATTATGGTATTTAAACAATTTAAAATTTCTACGTAAAGTAACATCTTGTTGCATTCATTTAGAATAAGAAGTAAAGTTTTAATGATCCTGGATTATTTTACTATATTTGTTCACTCCAATCATAGACGTACATAGGGCCGGATCTATCAAAGGTTTGCGTGTATAAAAACGTGAGCTATTTCACTGCGCACGCTAAAAAATGTACAAACTGATCTATCAACAGCGTGCTAAAAGGATTTGGTCTTTAAAACGTGCTAAATAGCGCCTCTTATCCATTTAGTACTTTTTCTGCAATGAATATGCAATATGGGGCGTTTACACGCAAAAGTGCGTCTTGTGGGAGGAGAACATGTAAATATATTAATTTAGCACTCGCAAAGTGATTTATTAAACCTGAAAGCAATTTTGCTAACGGTATCTGACTCTATATTTAACACGTTTCAAAAGAAGGTGCAAATGGTCTGTATGCGTAATTGCGCACACATGGCAGCGGTTATTGTCGCAAGAAGGAGACATGGAAATGAAGCAAGGAGATGCAGAGAACGCATTTTTTCACTCCGTGTGAATATTTTTGGAATGAACGAGGAAACGATCATCAAAACATATCGTTTATCCAGCATTGCCATTTTGGAGCTGTTGGGGAAACTCTGAATGGATTTGGAGCTAGCCACAAGGAGGACCCACGCAATACCCCGGATATCACAAAACTCCTTGCAACATTGCACTTTTTTGCATCTGGGATCTCCCAATCTTGTTTTTCACAAGTGCTGTCCGACGTTCTAAATGCCATGTCGCCCCAACGCCCTACCAGAGAACCCCGACCTCTGCGCCTGTGGAGCAACATGCCAATACTGCAGTGAAGTAGAAATTCAGCCACATACCACCTTAGGAAATAAAGGTTGCCAAAGTTTATATATATATATATATATATATATATATATATATATATATATATATATATATATATATATATATATATATATATATATATATATATATATATATATATATATATATAATTTATTTTCTTTTTCTTTTTTTGGAGTGGGTGGGGGTGTCACTGTAAGATAAAAATTTCTTAATGCACTAGTTTGTACTTAAATAGGGTGTATTTAAATAGAGCGTCTCCAACAGTTTTGCACCTGCCACCAGTTACGCAATCGCTCTTGTTAAATCACCCGCAAACCATGGTTCAGCCCCTCGCGCAAAATTCCAGTTTGCGAGCGCAAATTACTGCACGCAAAATTGGATCTTGATAAATCCGGCCCATAATGTAGTGCAATATAAACACCTGCTAGGATCAGTAAATGTCAACCCAAGGATTCCTGGAGGTTCTTACGGAAGAGGATTAGGGCCATTAAAAAAAAAAAAAAGTCAACTGATTTTTAAAATTTATTTCAGTTTAATATGGGAAAACTTTTTTCTCAGAATTCTGACTTTTTTTCCCTCAAAATTCGGACCTTTTTCTCAGAATTCTGACTTTTTTTCTCAGAATTCTGACTTTTTTTCTCAGAATTCGGACTTCTTTTCTCAGAATTCGGACTTCTTTTCTCAGAATTAGGACTTCTTTTCTCTAAATTCTGACTTTTTTCCCCTCAAAATTCTGACTTTTTTCCCCTCAAAATTCTGACTTTTTTCCCCTCAAAATTCTGACTTTTTTCCCCTCAAAATTCTGACTTTTTTCCCCTCAAAATTCTGACTTTTTCCCCCTCAAAATTCTGACTTTTTCCCCCTCAAAATTCTGACTTTTTCCCCCTCAAAATTCTGACTTTTTTCCCCTCAAAATTCTGACTTTTTTCCCCTCAAAATTCTGACTTTTTTCCCTCAAAATTCCGCCTTTTTTCTCAGAATTCAGACTTTTTTTCCCCTCAAAATTCGGACTTTTTTCCCCTCAAAATTCTGACTTTTTTTCCCCTCAAAATTCTGACTTTTTTCCCCTCAAAATTCTGACTTTTTTCCCTCAAAATTCCGCCTTTTTTCCTCAGAATTCTGACTTTTTTTCCTCAAAATTCTGACTTTTTCCCCCTTAAAATTCTGACTTTTTTCCCCTCAAAATTCTGACTTTTTTCCCCTCAAAATTCTGACTTTTTTCCCCTCAAAATTCTGACTTTTTTCCCTCAAAATTCCGCCTTTTTTCTCAGAATTCAGACTTTTTTTCCCCTCAAAATTCGGACTTTTTTCCCCTCAAAATTCTGACTTTTTTTCCCCTCAAAATTCTGACTTTTTTCCCCTCAAAATTCTGACTTTTTTCCCCTCAAAATTCTGACTTTTTTCCCCTCAAAATTCTGACTTTTTTCCCCTCAAAATTCTGACTTTTTTCCCCTCAAAATTCGGACTTTTTTTCCCCTCAAAATTCGGACTTTTTTTCCCCTCAAAATTCGGACTTTTTTCCCCTCAAAATTCTGACTTTTTTTCCCCTCAAAATTCTGACTTTTTTCCCCTCAAAATTCTGACTTTTTTCCCCTCAAAATTCTGACTTTTTTCCCCTCAAAATTCTGACTTTTTCCCCCTCAAAATTCTGACTTTTTCCCCCTCAAAATTCTGACTTTTTCCCCCTCAAAATTCTGACTTTTTCCCCTCAAAATTCTGACTTTTTTCCCCTCAAAATTCCGCCTTTTTTCCTCAGAATTCTGACTTTTTTTCCTCAAAATTCTGACTTTTTCCCCCTCAAAATTCTGACTTTTTTCCCCTCAAAATTCTGACTTTTTTCCCCTCAAAATTCTGACTTTTTTCCCCTCAAAATTCTGACTTTTTTCCCCTCAAAATTCTGACTTTTTTCCCCTCAAAATTCTGACTTTTTTCCCCTCAAAATTCTGACTTTTTTCCCCTCAAAATTCTGACTTTTTTTCCCCTCAAAATTCTGACTTTTTCCCCCTCAAAATTCTGACTTTTTCCCCCTCAAAATTCTGACTTTTTCCCCCTCAAAATTCTGACTTTTTCCCCTCAAAATTCTGACTTTTTTCCCCTCAAAATTCCGCCTTTTTTCCTCAGAATTCTGACTTTTTTTCCTCAAAATTCGGACTTTTTCCCCCTCAAAATTCGGACTTTTTCCCCCTCAAAATTCTGACTTTTTTTCCCTCAAAATTCTGACTTTTTTTCCCTCAAAATTCTGACTTTTTTCTCCTCAAAATTCTGACTTTTTTCCCCTCAAAATTCTGACTTTTTTCCCCTCAAAATTCTGACTTTTTTCCCCTCAAAATTCTGACTTTTTTCCCTCAAAATTCCGCCTTTTTTCTCAGAATTCAGACTTTTTTTCTCAGAATTCAGACTTTTTTTCTCAGAATTCGGACTTCTTTTCTCTAAATTCTGACTTTTTTTCTCTAAATTCAGACTTTTTTTCCCCTCAAAATTCTGACTTTTTTTCCCCTCAAAATTCGGACTTTTTTTCCCCTCAAAATTCGGACTTTTTTTCCCCTCAAAATTCGGACTTTTTTCCCCTCAAAATTCTGACTTTTTTTCCCCTCAAAATTCTGACTTTTTTCCCCTCAAAATTCTGACTTTTTTCCCCTCAAAATTCTGACTTTTTTTCCCCTCAAAATTCGGACTTTTTTTCCCCTCAAAATTCGGACTTTTTTTCCCCTCAAAATTCTGACTTTTTTTTCCCCTCAAAATTCGGACTTTTTTCCCCTCAAAATTCTGACTTTTCCCCCCTCAAAATTCTGACTTTTTCCCCCTCAAAATTCTGACTTTTTTCCCCTCAAAATTCTGACTTTTTTCCCCTCAAAATTCTGACTTTTTTCCCTCAAAATTCCGCCTTTTTTCTCAGAATTCAGACTTTTTTTCCCCTCAAAATTCGGACTTTTTTCCCCTCAAAATTCTGACTTTTTTTCCCCTCAAAATTCTGACTTTTTTCCCCTCAAAATTCTGACTTTTTTCCCTCAAAATTCCGCCTTTTTTCCTCAGAATTCTGACTTTTTTTCCTCAAAATTCTGACTTTTTCCCCCTTAAAATTCTGACTTTTTTCCCCTCAAAATTCTGACTTTTTTCCCCTCAAAATTCTGACTTTTTTCCCCTCAAAATTCTGACTTTTTTCCCTCAAAATTCCGCCTTTTTTCTCAGAATTCAGACTTTTTTTCCCCTCAAAATTCGGACTTTTTTCCCCTCAAAATTCTGACTTTTTTTCCCCTCAAAATTCTGACTTTTTTCCCCTCAAAATTCTGACTTTTTTCCCCTCAAAATTCTGACTTTTTTCCCCTCAAAATTCTGACTTTTTTCCCCTCAAAATTCTGACTTTTTTCCCCTCAAAATTCGGACTTTTTTTCCCCTCAAAATTCGGACTTTTTTTCCCCTCAAAATTCGGACTTTTTTCCCCTCAAAATTCTGACTTTTTTTCCCCTCAAAATTCTGACTTTTTTCCCCTCAAAATTCTGACTTTTTTCCCCTCAAAATTCTGACTTTTTTCCCCTCAAAATTCTGACTTTTTCCCCCTCAAAAT